AGTTAAGTACATACCGTATAGAATACACTTGTGAACCAATTGATTCTATGTCGTTACATATCGTGTATAGAGAACACACTTGTCTTGCATCTTGGCTGCCCGACGCTCTTAAAATTAACAGCGAAAATAGTATTCCCAGTAGCATCGTTCACGAAGTTCTGTAAAAACTAACCAAAACTTTGCAAAATCTGGCTATAAATAGTTTTTGTAAATGGTTTATTGCTTATCATTCAAATACTATAAGGATAAATCGTTTTATTTATAGTTTTAGTGATAAGATAGTTTCTTTTGATGTCTTTGTTTGAGTTCAAACGATAATTGTATGATCAAATTAGTTTACGTTAAAGAACGAAGATATAAGTGTTCGGCTTTGGTCTAATCAGATCCGTATTTATTTCCGCAAATAGTAATAAGTAATAATTACGATCCTATATCTTATCACAATAGTATAGGACATCGCAAATAAGATATAACTAAGGGGGTTTGTCAGAACGCCTGCAGGGTGGGCCTTTTGACACTTATGAATGTTTCATAGCGACTGCAGATTGGTAATAAAACATTTATTAATTATTTAATTATTTTCGGACATTTTAAGGTTTGAGTGATGTTTATGAATAACATGTTGGCACACTTTATCTAAACAAGAGTTAAATAAAAAGCGCAGACGCAAAAATTGTGTTTCTGCCACTGAGCGTTGTGACATACACCACATAAACTATAATTGTTATTACAAATCTGTAAACACAGTAATATTTATTAAATTCAACACCACAACATCAGTCTATGAGACATTAGTCAATTATGGAACGTGCTATATTTAATGGGGCGGTGCGGATATCATTCCAATACTTACGATAAAAGGAGTTTTTCATCTTAACCTTCTCTATTATCGTTTTAATTGAATGCCACCTTGCGGATAAGTTTAAATTAAAGAACGGTTACGTGCCTAATAGGTCATTAAATTCCATATTTACATTCATAAGTTCATATCACATGTATACAATCTAAACAGCTTAATTAAAAATACCATTAAGTAACTAAAAATTATCAGGTTTCTCAGACATTTGCAGCAGGTCTTTTATATTGGAATTATCTTCCAGGGGAAACCGTCTCGTCAAATCAGATAAGCTTAATCGACTGCTATGACTTCTTTCTGAAATCTGGTTAACACTAAACACTTTGAGATGATAGATTAGAAACTCGTAGAGAAACATGCGTTCGCGACTGGCATAATGAAAGGCCACAGAATAGTTGGAGCAACATCTTAGTCCCTTAAAAGAAATATTGGAATATTTTTTAAATTAAGATTTAGGATTTTAGGACTCACAGTTTCCACTTGAGAGAAGCTCATCAGGCGCAGCCATTCCGGAATAGTTGAATTGGCATCCATTAAATAGTTCTCCAGGTCCAAAGGCATAAACTTTGGCTTCGTATCTCCATCCAAAGCCTGTGCTGAGTCAACAAAATGGACACCCACATTCTGCAGACATATGCCCATGTAAAAGTCCTCGATGCCCATCTTTTTTGGCTGTGGACAAATCACCTCCGATTCGTAGGCTTTCGTCATAAATCGGTGGAGTGCTTGACGACTCAGAATATATGAAGCACCTCCAGACATATAACTCTGAAAAAAGCAAATATTATTATTCGGGATTATCACAAATTATGTTCCATAAAGTCTAAGATTAATATAGCACACACCCTGTGCTTACCTCCAAAACCAGTTCCTGCGTCATAAGTAAATGTTAATGCCGAAGTATGAATATTCACATCAAAGACCCGAAAAGTCCAGGTTATACCGACCTTTAGTAACGGTATAAGATTTTTAACATACCCACCATCGACATGAAGATATATTTAATCCCCTTTTGGAGGTCACTCAGCTGGGAATGATGTGTCAAAATACGCATCAAACGCACTTGTGAACACACAAAGCTCACAAATTAATGGAAGTGATATAGTGAATTGAGTAAATTGTCACATTTGACTTGGGATTATGTCAGATTATATTGCTAAAGTGTGTCACTTGTTTTTACCAAAGTGTAGACACATCAAAGGAATGTGGGAAATTTCGTTTGATAAAATTAAACAGTTAGTTAGAAACAATTATATGCTTAAAGAAATAAATAATCTTTTATAAAATGTCTCCCTTTTTTTGCTGAGTGCATATAACACCACATAAAATTAATGTATAATTCATGTGTGCATAAAAATATGTTAATTGTCTGAATACCAAAGATATGAAATTCCCAGCCAAAATAAAATAATCACAACAATCAATCACAAATCATTATAACATTTATGATGCATTAGGAATAATCAAGCCGCGGTAAACTCCATTCAAAGTGTGAGAGAAGCAGCAGCTCAAACAAAGAAGATATTTTAATATCTTAGTTAGTTTTTGACCAGATGTGGGTCCGAGCCGGGCCCTCCATAACTCTTTTGTTTATTTATGTGTAGGCAAACGTATGCAGACGAAATGTACTTGGTGCCACATAGAGCTTGCTCAACTCTTGGAAATGTCAAATGGCGAAATAAATCTGCGGCTACTGCCGAAAAGGCGCGGCTGTGAAAGATGCGTGACAGGTAATCGTGATGACCTCAGGTGAGGCACTGCCATTAGTATTTGCGGACTGCAGATACGATTGTTAATGCGAATTTAATTTCTGATTGTTATTGTCGAGGGGACTGCGGATTGATCTATGCACACGGAAAACGCCAAGACAAGAAGCTTTTGGCCAGTCAAGATCTGCATGATATCATCCTACCAATAATAGATTTAGTGTTTATTTACTCGCAGACACTGCACAATAAATCGATATTAGTTGTTATTAGGATTACACTCACAAAAGGGGACCGGTTATTCTAACAAAGACACTTTGTGATTAGCACATTTCTTCACCAAATAAAATATCGTACAACAAAGCGAGAAAGTTCTAAGAGCTTTAATTACCTTTCATTGTTTAATTTAATAATGGATAAAATGGGTAAATAACCTTTAAGGCTTAAACATTTTCATAAGTGCAGTAAATCAAGATATAAATATAAGTAAATATACGTTGTTAACTTTTGAAATAGTAAGATACACTAATATACTTGTTCAATGATTTATGTTCCTAAGTTCGGAAGAAATATTTGGTATAGCCCCCAAATGCGAAACTAAACTGTTAATTCCGAAACAAAAATTAGAAATTCAAATTAGCTTAACAAGCGGGTGACAACAACATTCAAGATGAGCAGTTAATTAGGAGTTAATGCCAGCGATCAACTAGATCACTTACCAAATAAATCAAATGCACAGGGAGAAATCCTAGAAATCGAATAAAAATCTAAAATAATAAGTTCCTAAAACAGGTTTCCAAACAAAGTTTAACTTTTTCATTTCTAAAAGCAATATTTTTTCATTTTTTCCTGTGCATAAAAGATATAATCGATAAGGTTTTTAATTTAACACAGCATAAGCACAAAGCCGGAAGTTAATGGTACACATGTTCAATGTTTATCACTCACCACATTGTATCGTGACATCTTGTAGCCCAAATAGACGGGTGTATCCGGGTCGAAACCGCTAAGCAGGTGCTGTAGATTCTCCATTACCATATATCTGTGTAGATACAAAATAAAAGATACAAGATAAAAGATACTGGAATTCAAGAACAAGATATACCCACGTGTCATCGTCCGCCTTGAGGAACCAATCGTAATCCCCACCGTAGTGTTCCCAAACATGGCGGAATCCCTCGCGGGTTTTGTTCCATAGATCCTCATAGCCCCCACCACCTGGCTCCACCACCCTGACCACGCCCAGTGGTTCGTAATCCTCGCTGCTGGCGAAGATCAGGTGGCTGCAGCGCTTTCCCCAGGTATCATAGACAGTTTTGGCCAAGCTATCCAAGTTTTCCGGGCAGGTGAGCACCATGCAAAGTATCCTAGGCGGCGTGGGTTCATCTTCCACCCCGACCGTGGCCATTGTGGACATCGTCGATGAACTGCTCCAACAGGGCGTGACCCGGCTCAGATCGTAGACATAGAGGAGCAGCACGAAGGCCAGGACAAATCCCGCCATGAAACCCGTCAGCAGATGCAGCTGAGATCGCATCTTAATCTTGGCCGTCATTCTGCGACAGCGTTGTGTTCTCCGCGACGTTCGATTCCCGATTGCCGACAGCCAGCCGTTTGTTTTGACCAGACACGGCAATCAGCCAAAATCCATTGGTCAGCAACCGGTTTGCTTTGTTTTCTTATCAAAACTCATCAAAAAGTGTGCGATTCAGTGGCAGATTAGGGATGCCCATTCAACTGGTGTTCTTAGGTAACCAAATTAGGAAACTAGAATATTAACAGTCCCAGAAATATTAAATTTAAATTTATGCTAAACGGTTACGTCTTTATGGCACTTGCTAAACTTCGACTTAACTTAATGAATTTATTTTAATAACTTAAGAATAAGAAAATACATGTTTTGTGGGTTACCGTGACTTTTTATATTAAATCCAGTCCGTTAGTCAAAAGTTTCGTCTTGGAACTTAAGCAAAGGTCATATGGCCTTTGGAGAAATCAATTTCTTCTAAAATTCAAAAGAGAAAATAACTACGAAATATTTTAAATTCCTTTTTTACTCTTAGTCTTTAAATGAAACTGTTTTATTTAATAAACCTCCCCCTTACACAAATTTTCTTCTTCTGGCCTTCATAGAATTTCAACGTTTTTATTGTGATCCATATTTTTTGTAAACTTATGCTCCAATTCTTATTTCTTTGATGATCACACATACACAGCTGTATCATCTTTCAATGGCATCCGCACTTACGCAGCACAAAAATGTCACAAATTGAAAATGAAAGTGTTACCAACATATTGTACTCTAAATTGGACAATGGTAAATCGATCAATTGTGCCGCATGACATTGTATAACGTCTCGAATTTGGTAATAAACTTAAATTGGGATGAAGTATAAAAAGTCCGAGTTGCTTCAATTATGATATCAGTTAGCTGACACTTTTTAGAGGCATACGCACGCAACGAAGATCCAAACGTTTTGAGATGGCAGCTAAGGTAAGTTGTATAGGGTCCTATCTAGTACAAACACGCAGTATGCATGGATCACGAGGATATATACCCAAAAAAAATCATTTTCATATAGGATATTCCTGTAAAAACAAGTAATCTTCAAGTAATCTATAAATTTATTATACTTCTTAGTTTTTCACCCTGCTATTTTTGGCCCTCTTCGCCGCCGGCCAAGCGGAGTACAACTACAACGAGAAGTCGAACCAGGCGAGCAACTCTTTAAACTCCAGAGCATCCGGTAGTTCTGGTGAGGATTTCCTGAGTGACTACCACACGCCCAGCAACAATGCCCTCAACTCGCAGGCCACTCCCGATGGCTATGACTACTTGGCGCCCACCAGGAACCAATTTTCCGCCGGCAGTCGGATGGCCAGTGTTCAGGCCTCGAATCTCCTCCAGAATGCAGCCAGTGCGGCCAATGCCGAATCCGCTCTGCTGCCCTCACCGCTGCCCATCCTACGTCAGGAGCAGAACTCGGAGGCGGTATCACCTGTGCAGTCCCAAAATCAGAAGGTAGCTTCAGTTCCGGCCGTTCAGCGGCAAAGTCAGGATGCAGTGGTGGTTTCATCAGTTCTGAGCCAACGTAAGGAGCCCGAAGTCTATCCACCCGCCAGCTATAGCTTCAACTATGCCGTGAATGACGAGACCACTGGGGACATCAAGGAGCATAGCGAAACCCGGGATGGTTATGTCGTGCGTGGTTTCTACAGCCTCGTCGATCCCGATGGCTACAAGCGCACGGTGACCTACACGGCGGATGATGTTCATGGTTTCAATGCGGTCGTCAACCGAGTTCCCTATGCCATCAAAAGGGTGGTTGTCCCAGGGGTGTCCAAGGTTGCTCAGCCCACTCCATTTGTATCTCGAGATGAGCGCACCAAGTCAGTGGATATCAATGGATCCTCGGGAGCAGCATCTCTGGGAAGTGAGCTAAGATCGGGAACCAGTTCCGGTTCCGGTTCCGTTTCCGGTTCGGGCTCGGGTTCTGTTTCGGGATCTGGTAACACCGTTTCCGGTTCCGGAGTGACCAACAACTTCGCAGATGACAGCTATGTCAATGCCCCCCGAGGACTCGACGCCTCTGGTGGTCCCTACGCCTGAGTACTGCTCCTAGGCTACGCACTCCTTGTATATTCCATCATTGTGCTTCATTTGTTACTAGTTTTTTCTCATTAATAAACACAAAACTTTGTTTAAATAACCCACCAAAGTGTTGCCTATCTTCAGGCTTTGAAAAAGCTTTTCGCTGGCATTTCCAAGATTTCAACATGGGTAAAGTAAAGCCTGTATTGCATTGCGGAATAAGTTAAGTAATTAAGGTGTGATTGCCATATGTTAAGGCCTTTTAAGGAGGCAAAGCAAAAGCCTTAATGGCTTTTAGTAAATCGTTTAAGATTCATATGAAAGGTCAAAGCATGCTTAAGCTTGCTTGAAGCCCATAGGTTTCATTACCATTTAAAAATTATCCAGAAGTGGATCCAAAACAGAAATTTAAGAGAATGTAAAGTTTTCATAAATTTTAATTATTTAAATATTAAACACAAAATTTAATTTTTTTTCTTGTTTTAAAGTACTTATTTTGCTTGGAATTTAAATAATTACTGTTTCCAATCAATTAGTTTTGTTTTTAGAGATCGTAATTTAGATCCATCTTTATAAAGTTAGGAATTACCTTGCAACATCTGGCAACATTGTGCCGAACAAGCGTTAAGGTATTTCTTCACCAACTTTTTCGACGCGCCCATTTAAGCCGAGTCTGTCAACCGCCGGCAAAGCGCGAAGACGTCGTTTGTTGTTTATTTTCGAGCTGCTCTTTTTTTTGTCTTGCCTTGGCTCTTTGTTTATTTTTTTGTTTGGGGCTTCAAGTCGCGTTCGAGCACCGTTTATTTTTACTGCCTTTTCGTTGAGGGCTTGTGATTGAAATTCTGTCGGCAGTACCATCGTGGGGTTCAAAGAAGTGAAAAGCAATCGAGGAAGCAACTCTAAAAATTCACATAATTGGAGTTAGCGATTCCGAAACGCTTCGAATGAGTTTGGAACGCCTTGAAAAAAACGTCAAGCAGGCCAGGCAATTGCCATATGCAGCTAAGCAATTGTGGATCGAATTCAACTTAAGTCAATTGTGCCACAACCGAGCCACCTGAGTGTTTTCCCGAAGGTCGACCGCATCTTTACAGGCTTTCTACTCTGCGTCACTGGCTCAAGAATGTGTTAATTCGGTGATTCGACAACAACAACCGCGACTTCAGCCTATACAGCGACAACAACAGTTTTGCCGCCTGACGACATAAGATTTGCATAAAAAAGTAAACAAACGCGGTTCATAAAAACGAGAAATAAAAGCTAAAGATAAAATCAAAACAAAATCAGTTCCATATATTGAAATCCGAAAAGTTAAACATCACTTATTAACTATTGGATTTAGTGAACATAAATTATGTAAAAATAAAACAAAGTAATTAATGAGCCATATAATCATGACAAAAACGAAGTAATACCGCTTAAAAAATTCATTGTTTTGTGTCTAGTACATCTGTATTACATATTTTTTTAATATTTTGAATGTTATCAAAGCTCTCTATGCCGACATAACCAAAAATATAGATTAGATTGTTGGTTTTAACGACCTTTTTGAATTAATGAGGTCTAGTTGGGTTTCTTTAGCTTGTTTCCCTGAAGATCTCCTCCAGAGAAGATTGAAATATATTGGGAACAAGCAAAAATAAAGCACTCAGACCTCAAGCCAGCTTAACCAACTGATAAGTGAATCTTTAAGAACTAAAACCTCATACTTATGACCATTTTTGTTGTATTTCTCCCTGTAAAGCGAAACGGAAAAAAACAAAGTAATGGGAGTACGACCGCATCGTAAGCGTATGGAGCTGATCTTGATGGTTCTGATCGGGATGGCATGGGGTGTTCTTCTGTCGGCGTTGATGAAACGGGATCGCTGGCAGTATCGCGGGGATCAGCTGAAGGAGGAAAGCAGTCCCTTTCCAAGCAGTCACAGGAGCTTCCGTAGTCCCGCCATCACAACAACTCATCCGCATCCGGATATCCTGCCCGCCCATCTCTTCAACGAAACACGAATTCTGTGCATGGTAATGACCAGTCCCAAAACCCACCAAAGTCGCGCCATCCACATCCAACGTACCTGGGGAACGCGCTGCAACAAGCTGATCTTCATGAGCACCAAGGCGGATAAGCAACTGGGTTCCGTTGTCCTCAATGTGAGGGAGGGCTATTCGAACTCATGGCATAAGACGCGTGCATCGTTGGAATATGTCTATAAACATCATTTTCATAAGTACGACTGGTTCCTAAAGGCAGATGATGATACGTGAGTTTTTAAATATTATTTAATCTATGCAACATTTTTTATTTTCCATAAAAATCCCTTAAAATTCTAAGGTTATGTAAAGAAAAACAATATTATTTTTCCTTTTCTTTCATTTCAGCTATGTCATAATGGAAAATCTACGTGCCTTTCTATATGCCTACAGTCCGAAGACCCCAGTGCTATTTGGAGATAAGTTTCAAACGCATGTCAAAGAGGTAATATTTAAAATTTTTCAAAACATTTTTTTTGTTTTAAGTTTACACAACTGAACAAAAATTTGGCTACATAAAAGGCCTAAATTGATAGTAGCCGAAAAGTATGCTAAGCTTATAGCTAAACAATTAACCAAATAATGAAGGCGCTGAAATTTAAATTCTAAAGTTATAAAACTGACTCTTTTGTTTATTAAATAAACCTTTTTTTCAAATACAGGGCTACACTTCTGGAGGATCTGATTATGTCCTGAGCAAAATGGCCCTACATCGTCTGATAAATCAGGGCTTTAGCAACAGCAGTATCTGTACCAACCGGAATTACGGCTACGAGGACGTGGAACTAGGACGATGTTTAACAGCGGTGGGCGTAGAGACTGGAGATTCCAGGGATGAAGACGGATTGAGCAGATTTATCCCCATCTCACCGCTGCACTGGTACTCGCAGGCGCTGCTCTACAATACGACCCCAGATGTAAGGAAAGCTACCAAGTTTCTCATTATAAACTACAAATTTTTCTTTATCCCCGTAGAACACCAACGATTGTTGCTCCAGCACGGCCATCTCATTTCACTTTAACAACGCCCTGGAGTTTTACATGCTGGACTACGTAGTCTACAAACTAAGAACATTTGGCATAACTAATGTTCAAGATCTTTTGCCATCTAAAAAATCCATTTTGGGTACTAAGCAATCTTGGAGCGCTTTTCATACCAAAAAAATTGAACTTCACAAAAACGCTCTCAACAAAATGTTATCCGAAAAAAACGACACAAAGCCAAAAGCCGAAACTAAGCCAAAGCCCAAATCATAATCTTTCTAGCACCAAAATAGTTTAATATTGACTGCAATAGAAAATGCCAAAGAGTAAGACCAAGATATCGTACATGATTAATCTAAAACTGCTCCTTTAAATAAAATTTTAAGCCAAATCTTTCCATATTTATTCTTAAATGGATTGATATAGGTTAAGATAGCCATTTTTGAATACATGTTTAAGACTTGATATTATAAAAAAATGTTAAAATTAAATTAAACTAGCATCATAATCTATATTGCTGTATCCAAAGCGGTTTTTTTCTTAAGCGTCTTGGCGGAGGATGGCCAGCAAGAAGTCCGTATGGTCGGCTTTTATACAAAATCGTTTCCAGAAAATGCATTTCGTAGGGTGATACATTGTGTATTGAAATTGAATAGGTGGAACAACATTCCATACCCTGCAAGTAAGGTCAAGATACAATGTTTTAAGTTGCATTAACAAGAATTTTACAAATCGTTTTATAATATATAAGATCAAAATTAAAATGTCTTTATGAAGACCTTTAATAAAAATATGTTTCCCCACCGTTCCAGTTATTTGATAGAGATATTCCTTTAGCCAAAAGTTCTCATCATCATGATTCGGTATAAGAAAATGGACCAGGGAAAGTGAAAAGAACCGCTGACGGCCCAAAAGGTCTCTGGAATCGCCGGCATCCACATTCAATATGCGCAGACATTTGCCCATTGTATAATCTTCAGTACCTTGATCACCTGGCAGGCACTTCTTGGCTGCCCCAAGTACCAATAGCTTCACAGCCTTTTTGCTGAGGACATAGCCAGCACCTCCGGACATATAGAGTGTGTTTGCCAGTTTAAACGGAGAGCCAAAATAAATGGGATTGGCAGGTGAGTAGGGTTGGAGCAGTTTACGCATATTCTCCATTACGGCATAGGTATCATCATCTGCCTTATAGAACCAATCCGCCTCGTGTGCAAAATTCTTATAAGCATGGTGAAATGCTGCCTTTGTCTTGCCCCACAGATTACTGCGAGTATCGCTGACATTCAGGCCAACAATCTCCACTCCAGACAAGGTGGTTCGGGAAGAACCGCCATAATAAACCACTCGGTTGCAATGGCGACCCCAGGTCTCGCTTATTGCCTTCACGGCACTCATGTACTTCTTGGGCCAGGATATAACCAAGCATATTATCCTAACCGACCGATACATATACCTTGCCAGCCGATCGTTCAACGGTCTATATTTTATGCTCATTGGAAAACTTGGAGACCTCAGTTCTGGCAGGGGATTCAAATGGCCATAGGGTCGCAGGTGATAGTACACAAACTCTAGAATATACATTTGCGTGGCACGGCAATATGGGTGCAGGATTGCTCCTCCAAAACAGCTCTCCCAACTCTATGAAAAATAGAATTACAATTGATTTAACTTATTAAAAATTAAGTATTTATGTTAAAATTATTATTTTACAACAGAAAAATATTATAAGTTTTAGAAATTCAAGACTTATTAATTCTTAATAAGTATTTTATTAGACAACTTACCTGATTATCGTAGACGGCTCGAAAAGCGCAGGGCCATAGCCAAAATTTATTACGTAGACTATAGGGAATCACTTCATGCGGGACGTTGAATGATTGAAGACCCTCGCTGGGAGACTTTTTCATTCGTTTCAAGCACTCCCTGAAAAAAATCTCGTTTTGCAGGCAGTTTCTTGTCGCTAATCGCTCCAATGCCTCCCTACTGAAGATATAGTCAGTGCTGGAGACCTGACCAACATGGGCATAGGTATAGACGGCATGTTGCGCACTGAAGTATACCTCCTCGGAAGGCGAATAGTGGGCCAGCAAGTAGCGGAGATTCTCCATGATGACGTACGAGTCCAAGTAAACAACCAGCAGCCAATCGAGTTCTTTGCGGAACTCCACATAAATCTGGCGATATGCCTCCAGTAAAGTGATCTCCCTTTGGTTAATAAAGGTCAGCCGATTGCACCGACGACCCCAACTATTTTTCACATGCACAGCTTTCTGAGCACCACACTTGTAGTCCGAGCGATCCATATAAACTAGGCAATGCACGCGAACCTGCTCCCGTAGAATCCTCGCTATCCGATCATCATCCCAGTGCTGACTTCGTAGGCCAACATAATAGCTCTCTACATTCTCCTTGTAAGGTTTTTGTATAAGCTCAATTAGATCAGCGAAAGTAGTGCTGTTGTAGAATATCAACAGCTCGAGAACAAACAGCCAAAACAAGGTTGATAGGATCAGTAATCGAAAAAATCCTACTAAGTTCATTTTTTTCTGTTAGTAAAAATTGTTTTTATGACACTGTAAGAAAACACTCCTCAGGTTAATTTGTACCGGGTTCAAAATGTAGGGCTATTAATGTAAGTAAATAAATTTTTTTTTAAATCGCATCGGATTTTTTTTACAAATACATGCCGCTCTTTCAAGTGAAAGACTTAAGATTATATCTTTTAAATTATAAATTAGTATTTATTTTTAGCTGTGCCTTTGAATTTAATCGTAATCTATATTATAAATGGGAAATGTCTTATACGGTTTGTTGATTTCCTCATTTAGATGTTTCTCGATCCAGGGCTTCAATTGCATAATATTCGTATAGATAGCGGGGACATTTTCCCGTCCACACGATATGCCACCATTGACAATGCCGACGAACTCGAAGATCGTGGGGTGTCCGGGAATGGGACACATAAGCGGGGATCCACCGTCGCCCTGGCAGGCATCCCGACCCCTCTCTCCACCCGCACATAGCAAGGTGGGGTCCAGTTGGTAGTCCCTTCCCAGTTCCGTCCTCCGCAATTGGGCCTCGCATAGATCCTTGCTTACGATGGGCAACCAAATTTTCTTCTGTCTAAACGAATAATTTGGAACATCGGGATTTGGTATACCCCAACCGGCTACCACGCAGCGTTCTTGATGCAAAGAGAATTCCGAATTGGGCCAGCAAATGGTTCCGATGTAGGGTTTCATCTCAAACGAAACATCGAGTACGATCAAAGCTATGTTGTTTGCACCGGTAAGATTATTAAATTCTGGATGCGATATAATCCTTGCCGGAGATCGTGATACAACCGTGGGTCTAAACAGTTCGTTCAAGTCCCAGGCACCACCGGCGATCACAAAATCTTTTAACGACTTATCGTTCACCAAATGAGCTGCTGTTATCACAACATTTTCGGTTACCAGAGTTCCGGCTCCAAAAAACTGACTCTTTTGTTTCATCAGCGCCACAATCCATGGAAATTCATTGGGTTTTGCCTGATCAACATGAGCCGGGGTTGTATTATCCAGACCATTAGGGTTACTGTGACCACAGTTTACTGGGGCGCCCACAGGTAACTAAAAAAGATTATAAAATATTATTATCAATGGAATACTCTCCCTTTAGTATACCTACTAACCACTTGAGAAATGTTACAGCATGTTTCCCATCTCTGGCAATGCGTTTGAGTAGTTCCAGCATTTAGGATCCAGGAACCTAGTCCACAAAGACCTTGGGGAACACACTCCATTTGGAGGCCACAAGGCGCTCCCGCCTCAGTCAGCATCCATAAAAGACAACTGAAAATTATAACTCTCTGCCACATTGTTGGACTAACTACTGAAAATAAATTCATCATGTGTACGCAAAATAAATGAGAGATCTCAAACCAATATTCTGAGAACAAAGAATTTTCCCTGCCATTATCAGTAATCACACAATATAGCTATATATGTAGTAGTAAAAACATATCAGCTCAAGAGAATAATAATCGCGCTAATAAAAATATGATCTAGAGAGGGATTTAAAAAATGTAAAATTTATGTATACATACCTGAATTTTGAAAAAACCCAAGTCGAAAACAAACCAAATTAATAATAACAACACATTTTTCCTAATTTTTTGAAAAAAAAATTTAACAAAATCAGAAATTAAAAAAAAAGTTTTAAAAGATTTTTATTAGTAGTAGTATTAGATAACAGTTAATGGTTTTGAAAAAACACATATTTGGGAATTTTTTTCGACAATTGTTTTTGTAGTGTTTTATGAAATAATGGCAAGAGACAGGAAAAAGGTAATTTTGGATTATATGTTTAAAATGTTTATGGAAAAACACACACTTGAGTAATTTGTTTGCGATATTTTTGGCATTTATTCAGAAATAATTGATAAAGGTATGGAATTTGATTATTTCGAATTTTGAGCTCAAAGATGACTGCGCATGAAGAAAACTAGATCTCCCGGCACGCTGAACACTTGCTCCAAATGCGGATCAATCCACTCTTTGAACTTGGAAACAGATGTATAGATGCCCGGAACATTTTCCTGACCACACTCGATGCCCCAGTTGACGATGCCAGCCTGTTCATAGCGATTGGGGTCCCCTTCGAGGGCGCAGAATAGGGCGGATCCTCCAAATCGAGGGCAAACATCTTTGCCCTGCTCTCCGCCGGCACAAATTAAGCTGTCGGACAGCTGATAGCCCGAACCCATCCCAGTTTGCCTCAATTGATCCTGGCACCTTAAACTATCCACTATGGGCAGTTCGATTTTCTCTTGTATGGACAAAAGTTCGGTACCGGCAAATGATCTTTTTCCCCAACCGGCAACCATACAGCGACGTCCTTCAAAGGTCTGACCGGGAATTGGTAAGCATATGGTCTGAATATGGGGTTTTATCTCGAATGGTGAATCCAAAAAGAGAAGCGCCAAGTTGTTGGCCCCGCTGCTGTATTTAAACGCCTCATGTATAATAATCTTGATCACTTGGCGCTCTTCGGATGGCTCAACTTCCCCACTGGAGGACAAGTCCCATTCACCAGCTCTGACCTTTATGTAGACACTGGACTTACGTACCAGAATATGGGCTGCTGTTAGTACTAGTCCTGGGGCTATTAACGAACCGCCTCCGAAATATTGGCCCTTGGTGAACAAAGCCATTACCCAAGGAAATTGACTCGGTCTGACCTGATTCCCATATACTTGTTGGTTTTCATCTAGACCATTCGGATTACTCATGCCACAAAGGGAACCTGGTGGAAGTGTCGGAGGTCTATGCTTTTTGCCAATCTACAAAAGCAGGATATAGGAAAATCTAATCAACTTATCTTGGATATTAATTTTAAATTTGCTTACCACATTAGACTTTTCACAGCAGACTTCTAAGTCGCTGCAATCGATGGTAGAACTTAGATCAAAAATGGGCTCTTCTCGTCGACAATTTTCTTTGGGAACACACTGATGGGAACTCGCACATATATGAGCATCGCTTAAAAGGATGCAACTCCAAAACAGAGCTAAAAGTGCCCACACTCGTAACATCGTTCTCTCGACAACAGATTCTTAAAACGACGGTGCTAGTACATAAGTATTCATCATGCTCCGGAGATAAGAATTAAATAAAAATAATCTCAGGTCTCAATTAAGGCCTTATGACACGGTCTTGATTTTTGATTAAGAAATAAGGATCTACCGCATAACATACATTATATTATATATATATATATATTAAAATATGTCCAGGCTGCAATAACTTTTTAAAACACACCCAGTCGCTTGGTCAAAAACCAACCAAGTGTCATAAGACCTTTACTGATTATGATGGGAAATTCATGTACTCTAGAATTCGGAGAATCCGTAAATGCAGAGAAATCAAATACAAATAGCTAAAAGTTTTTAGCGGAGATTAAGTACATTTTTGTTTTTACTTTCTCTTTTTTTATGTTTTGAAATAATCTCAAAATTTATAAAAACAAATTTCAAGGAAAAAAGTTAATATATAGGAAAACGTCAAATTTATCAAGTTCAATTTAAGATTAAACATTTTAAAAAAAGTTTTCGAAACACTAAAATTAAAATATTTTATGTGACAGTTTTAATGGTACTATGCAGTTTAGTATATATTCACACCAAATACTAATTTATGAATTCAAAATATTTTTTCAACTATGGAATATTTACATAAAAATTATTTTTATTTTTAAATATCTGAGCAAAAATTTGTATCCAAAATCATAACAAATCAAGTTTGCCGCCCGCCAACTTGAGATCAATGTAGTCCCTGAACAAGGCCACGTTTGTGAAGATTCCGGGAACATTCTCCTGGCCACAACGGATGCCAAAGCTGACGATGCCAGCCTGTTCGTACCGATTGGGGTCGTTTTCCAGTGGACAGAAGAGGGGAGATCCACCATCGCCAGTGCAGGCATCCTGGTCCCGTTCTCCACCGGCGCAAATTAGGCTCTCGTGGAGCTTGAAGTCACTGCCCATCGAGGTTCGCCTCAATTTATTCTGGCAATCTTCTCTCATCACCATAGGTAACACTATTTGCTTTTGTTTTTTTGAATTTTGAGGATCCTGATAGGAAGGCTTTCCCCATCCGGCTATTACGCAGCGTTTGTGATCGAATGACCTTCCCTCCCTTGGTAAACAGATGGTACGAATGTGGGATTTCATCTCGAAGGGAGATTGGAGATATAGGAGCGCCATGTCGTTCCACGCCTTTCCGAATACAAACTCTTCGTGTCGATCGATTTTTTTCACAACGCGCTCCTCATGACGGATATTTTCCCAATCGGATGCCATATCCCATACGCCAGCTCTGACCACAATCTCATTCGCGTTCTTGTTTGGCAGAAGGTGAGCTGCTGTTAGAACCACTCCAGGAGCAATTAGGGAACCGCCTCCAAAGTATTCACCACGGTTAAAAAGAGCCACCACCCATGGATATTGACCAGGTCCACTTGAATTACCCAAGCCGCAGAGGTCATTCAAAAGAGAAGCTTCGATTGGCGTGTTAGAACGGCTTCCATGTCGGATCGGAGCAGGATTTGGTGTGGTTGGTTGGTTCAGTTGAGTTTGGCGCCGCTGTGAGGTATTTGTTTGTAAGGGTAGATGTGAGGGTTGAGGGAAGTATGGGGGTTGTCCGGATCGTTGGGTAGTGGCGGTGTTTTGGTAATAATTCCCAACTTGGGGCCAGGGTGTTGTGGGTGGGTTATAGTTTACATTTGGGGCCAAAGGTGTGGTGTCTTGGTTAAAGAGTGCATTTTGCTGCCAGTTTGTTGCTGGAGTGGCTTGGTAATTGTTTCCAGCTTGCCACAAATTTGTGGTTTTAAAAAACTCTGAAGGATTTTGGTTATACAATTGCTACAATTAAAAATACATTGGTAATTTAAAAATAAATTAAGTGATTAAGCACTTACCCTGGCAGTATTTGCATTTAAGCAACATTGTTGGTTTGATAAGCATGAAGCTCTTGACTCGTACACATATATTGTACTGCAATATCCTCTAGCAACGCACTGATACGGATATTGGCAGAAATCGGCAGCAGAAATGCAGCCGAAAATTAGGGCTCCTATCACCCAGTACTCGGTCATGGTTTATTCGCGAACTGAACTATTCGAAAAGACTGGCAGTGGAAGAGTGTGATTCCTTGTGTACAAGTATTGAAACTCATATGCTTTAAGCTTATCACTTTTATACTAAAATTGTCTATATATTATAATCTGGTTGATTGAATTGCTCATCGGAGAGCTGGAAATAACAGCAATAAATGTGAAGCGCCTGTGTCACCATCCGTTGATAAGAAAATAAAGCCAAAACCACAATTTTGAAATTCAAAATTAAAAGAAATATTTTATATTGTTTATATAAATTATGTACACTTTTATTTTTAATAATAAACTTACAACAATAAAAAAATACGGCTTAAGAAAATGTAATACACACGTTGTAGTACTTAAAAATGGTTTCTGTATCTATGCTTCATTCACAAAGAATACAAAAGGCAAAAAGATTGGTAAATACTATCTACAGCAAACATTTTAATCAGTTGAAATTTAAACACATAAAAAATGTATGTAAATTAAAAAATGTTGTTAATTTTAGTACTAATTCTTATTTTATTGCTAAAATGTGAGACGCTTTGAATTTTTTTTAAACAAGTTAAAATGAATTATTTTTATGGCCTCTCGACTATCAGATACCCGTTTAAACTATTTAGGCATAACTTTAAAAACTTGGCTGCCTAAAACCCCCTTACAACCTTTGGCTTTTATACTTTCCGAGATCTCAGCGTTTATATGGACAGAATATATACACATATAATAGTTTCCCAGATTTTAGCGTTTATAAGGACATTATAAATATACTTTATAGGGTCGAAAAAGATTCCTTCCATTTCACTCTGCGAGTAACGTGTTAAATGACCAATACGCGGAAAAACCGATTTGCAATTTTCAAAAGTTCATAAAAATTTCATTGAAAAACACAATTTAACTGAGGAGCTCCCGTGACTTCTAGAGGTGTTGATAAAGCCAATCTCCGAACATGGCCAAATTGGTAAACGTTGATGGCACGTTTTCCAGTTCACACAAACCAAAGCTGAAGACGCCTGCCAGATCGTAACGAAAAGGAAAATTTTCCTGTGTACAGAACAAGGCAGATCCACCATCGAAAAAGCAGGCATCCTTTGCTTTTTCACCGCCGGCGCAAATTAGACTATCTGGTAGGTTATAATCAATGCGGAGTCTGGTTTGCCTTAACTGATTCTGACAGAATGTCCTGCTTACTATTGGCACATCCATTTTTATTTGTATATCCAAAAATTGTGTGTAAGGGTGGACAGCCCGCTTTCCCCATCCGGCAATAATGCAGCGCTTTTGCTCGAATGACTTTCCCTGGGCAGGTAAACAAATGGGTGCGATATGTTTTCTCAGCTTGAACGGGGACTTGAGGTACAGAAGTGCTACGTTGTTCTCATGGATCCGGATTCTGTTCACACGACGCTCATCCGGCGGAAACTGTACTCCGCGCAACAAAAAGTCAAAGTCACCAGCTCTCACCACAATATCATCCGCATTCTTGTTCATCACTAGATGAGCTGCAGTTAGTACAGTCCCTGGGGCAACCAGGGATGCTACTCCAAAGTAAGTGCCATTGGAGAACAGGGCAATCAGTCAGGGATATTGAGCAGGCCAAGGGTGCTTCTCGGGCATTCGCATACTAAAATTCAGAAGATTTCCATTTTCCCACCCGCAATACTCATTTAAATGCTGTTTTGGCGAAGGAGCTGGGATTGGTGGAGTGAAAATCTTATAAGGTGGCTGACTTGTTGTAGTAGACATATACATATTCGCATTCTACAAATTGTTTAAAATCAGAACTTTTTCCATTTTGAAATGCATTTAGGGAACTTACGGAATAAGCATCTCCACAGCAGTCGTATAGTTCGTTTGCGAAATTTCCAAGTATATTTGCACAGCGTCCCTTTAGAACCCAACGATTCGGAGGCTCACAGAGGTCGACGGCAGAAATGATGCAGCCCAAAGGAAGAACTCCAAGTGCCCAGTATCTAGGCATTGTTCGCTCAAGAAGAAAAATGTCAACTAAGTGGTTGTGAATGGATGTCCCTACTTTTATAATTACGATTAACCGAGAACTTTTGGGAGAATTCCCAAAAAATAGCGATAATGTGTTTGAACATAGTACATATATAAGGGATGAGTAATCTTTTGTTGTCAGCTTTATTTATAATCATAACAAGACGTCTACATATGTTTAATTTGATCAGCCGCTCAAACAAAAAAAAAATTTGGTTTTTGTTAAATGAATTTTGCGTATTGTGATACACATATTTTTTTAAATAATTAAGACATATCCGACAGTTTTAGAGTTATTAAGGGGATATTTTAATGGTCACCTTTGCCAAACACCAAGCAGATAATAGCTGATAATTTGAAAAAAGTATAGTAATTTTAAAATCAACCACATTCACACAGCAATAAAGTATTAAAATATTTACAGAACTTGTTTTAATTTTATAAAAATACTATTTTTTAAATTAAAATTTAATGAATAAATAAAACTGATATTAATTAAATGAATGTGTTTAGTTACTAGAACACAAATATGAAATGAGCTAGTCTACTTTTTAATTTAACTAACAACGCCTTAACTGTAAAATAAATTTATTTAAGTGCACTATACCATGTTTTAGTGTAAAAATGATTCTATAAAGAGAATAATTCGCCTCTCACAAGACTAAGCTAGCACTTGGGCGTAACTGATGGGGTTAACGATGGAGACATATACATTACAGATATTGAAAAAAAAAGCACAGTTCTTGCGAAAATGGAGCGAAAAGAGTGCGTTTTTCAGGATCGCAACAGCCATTATCAACAGCATTCAGCTTCGACATCATTGTCCCGACCAGTGCTCTTTCTTCTACTGGGCATAGGCATTGGTTATCTGATCACCCAGTTGATTCTGTGGCCAATTATACCCCTTAAATCGCATACGAATAGCACTGCGAGAACGACCCAACTGGATGTCGATTTGACCGATGAGGTGCGAGTCTTGTGCTACGTTAATACGAAACCCAGTAATCATAAGACCCAGGCAAAAGCGGTTCTCGAAACTTGGGGCAAGAGGTGCAACAAGCTGATCTTTTTTAGCAGCCGAACCGATGTAAATCTTTCGGGATCTGTGGCCCTGTCCGTCAGTCCAAGCTTCCGTGAGTCGTGGCGAAAAACAAAAAGTGCTCTGCAGTACCTCTATGATCATCACTTAAACGATGCCGACTGGTTCCTGGAGGCCGATGACGAAACCTATGTGCTGATGGAGAACCTTCGATACATGGTCTATCCGTATAGCCCAGAGATGGCCATCTATTTCGGTTCCCCGGGCACTGTGATGAGTCGGGCTGCACTGCGTCGCTTTGTGGAGGTTTCCCTGCCCAATCCATCGAAGTGCGAACCGAAGGACTCGGGTCCCACCGCCGGAAGGCTGAAAGAGTGCCTCGATAATGTCAATGTAATGGCGGGAAACACTTACGATTCCAAGGGACGCAGACGTATGTACCTCATCGAACCGCAGGCCAGATCCAATTTATTCCATCGCTATGACTCAAAGTTTTGGTTCTGGAAATATCTCGCCTTTAAGACCCAAAAAGTTTGTAGTCCTATTCGGTTTTAGAAATCTAATCGTATATGTTATTTCCCTCTAGGGTATTTTCTCTTGGTCTAACTATGCCGTGTCGTTCCACTTCGTTCACCATCGCTATATGCATTGTTTTGAGTATATGATCTATAGATTGCGGGCTTTCGGACGAAGACTTCCCGTTGAGACTCTTCCAGAGAAGTATAGCCCCAGCAAGGAGGAGAACATTAATGAAGAACAATCAACTAACGCTGAAAAAGAAGTACCACCTGACTATGCCTATTGAAAGATTGAGAAGAATTCTAGGGAACTCTAAAATAGGAATTCAAAATCTTTATTAAATTCCTAATTCTTCCTAAGGGACCGCCCTGGCCTTTTAGTATACACATATTATAAAACTGTTACCATAAGCCTACATAATTTTAATTTTCTCCTGAAGTTTCCTTGGACTTGGAATGTTTATCCTTTTCCTCATTTGAACGCTTCGAATCTTCCTCAGTTTTTTGTGATTCGTCCTCTTCTTCGGCCTCCTTTGAACGTTTTTCCCTGTATTTTTCCTCTTCCTTTTCCAACTCCTGGGAGTCCATTTCCCGGGCGTCGGGTTCCTTTGGCTTTTCAGTTGTGGTCGTGTAAATCCTGTCGTAATCATCCACAGAGTCCTCATTACTGGCCAGAGGACGCTCAACGGGAGGGGGAAGGAACTGACCCACTTTCAGTTTGGCTGGCAGAGGCTCTAGGGATCGCATCAGACCGTATGGTTTCAAATGATAGATAAGATAGTCCATCACGTACATCAGATTTGGGGCCACATAATGAAACGAGATGGCCAAGTCTGAGCAGCAGTCAAGACCCTAAAAAGAAATTATTTATAATAATTATGATATATCAAACTTTTTGATGGATTATTATGAAGTATTCGGAAGTATTATGATATATCAAAAGCTTTAAGGTAAGCACAAAGTTTAGTTGTATTCAGGTTCGTAATTTTAAAAAAACGTGGCGTTAGAATATAATAGGATTTTAAAATTTCATGTTAAATGACCTAAATACCGATTTTAGTAAAAATGATACTTACGTCGTCCGTCTTGTAGAATTGGTAGTTCCAGTACCAAAAGCCCTTGTCATATTTGGCGGGAATTATATGGTGTTCCGGGACAAAGGGGAACATCCGACCGCGTCCAATCTGGTCCCTGGAGTCGCCGGCCGTCACATTCAGATGCTCCATGCAGCGCCCAATCTCGATATCCTCGTTGACCACCGTGCCCGGCAGACACATCTTGGGATTCGGAATGCCCTCGACCACGAATCTTCGCAGGGCCTCCCGACTGAGTATGTATCCCGCTCCTCCAGACATATAACCCTGTTTCACAAACGGCTTAAACTTAAAGCCAAAATGTACGGGTGTTTCAGGATTGTAAGGATAAAGCATATAACGCATATTCTCGATGATCGCATAGGTGTCGTCATCGGCCTTGTAGAAGAAGTCGGCATCGTTGTAATGGTGCTTATAGACGTACTTAAACGCCTCCTTGACCTTGGCCCACAGATTCTCGCGACCCTCGCCCACATTCAACTTCACCGTGGGCAGCTCCTCATCCACGCCGGAGCTCATGAAGAGCAGGATATTACAGCGTTTGCCCCAAGTTCGCTTCACGTGGCGAGCCTTAACCTTGTGGTTGGTGGGATTGGTCATCACCCAGCAGAGGATGCGAACCTCCTTCTTAAGCTTCTCGGCCACGGTGATGTTGTCATCGGGATGATCGTGATGGAAGGGGCCGTGTTCCTGGGCCTGGATGGCCAATTGTGAGTCAGCGGGCAAGTTAAGACGTCGGCTGATATACGGATACAGACTCTCATGGGGAGAAACTCTCGAGAAGAGTTGTGCCATACAGTAGCCCACCACCAAGCCAATGATCAGTGTGAACACCGAGCGATTTTTAGAGCGGGGTGCTGAAAACAGTCATATTTATTGAGAGTGAAAGTTTATTTTTAAACAAGTAAATATAATATTCCAAAATTGTTAACAAGTTCCTTAGTAATTTTTCTAATCGCTACTTTAACCGTCATATATAATAACCTTCTGTCAGAGAGCGCGATAAAAGACTTGCACTTGTCATTTTGGCACTTTTTCGACCAAATATTTTAGGTCACTTCGAAATTCCCTTTCGACTGGGGAACAGTCGGTAGGTTCACTTGTACAAACAAGAAGTTGGCTATGTGTCCAAATTCTTATTATCTAGCGAATGCGTCAATCTTGTAGACTCAATTTTCAGCAAGAACTGAGCCCGAATGCGTTTGCTAGCAGACTGAGCAGCATAAGCTTCGTCAAATGGATTCAGTTATAATTTATCAGAAACAGTTGATCAAACATATCTTGGAAAGTAGCTAATATAGGGAGTAAGATATATAGGTCTTTGTACTGAAGTAAATTAGAATAAGCTTTTTGGTTAAATATTAAAGAAATGCAATGCAATTTAAAATTGGTCAAAAGAAAGATCGGCTTGTTGTTAATTAAACATTATACAAGAAATTTCTAAAAATGTGTCTTATTTATAAAATGGTTGCCAAACAAAGAAGGGATTGCTACACATATTTGCTTTTCAACATTCGTTGTACATATTTACCGTATTTAATAAAACCCTTAAGAAATGAAAATTCCCATACCTATTTATTAAACGAAAATTTAGTTTAGTTATTTCGCTCAAATATTGCTTATACGACCTGTTGCGTATGTTACATCCCCAGCATGTATCAATTCGAATAAATAAGTGTAAAACTAAGTTTACTGCGATGTGAAGTGACTTCAACTATTTTCTTTTATAAAAAAGCTACGTAAATTTCAAAGCTTTATATCCAAGTTTTAAACTCCCAGGTAAAGCTCAACACTTGTCTACAAAAATAAGTTAGGCAAACCGCAGTAACAAATACTTTAACTGAAAATATTTCCCATTGCTTTTGATAATTTGTTAGTCCAACCAAAATAAAACTCTTCACAAATCGTGTGTCAATTTATTAAACTTGCAAAATTGTGGACTATACTTAAAATTTAATAAAGTAAGAAATTAATTAATTATCGTATCTAGTTTACAGGAAAATAAGCAGAAATCCTTCATGTGTAACTAATTGCTAATTTAAGGACAAAAAGGCGTTTAAACTTAAAGCACTTGTCAACAATTGCTTAGGGTAGAGTAGGTCTATAAATAGCATTAATTATAATATTAAATGTACGTATATATATATATGGTTATTTACAGAGGACAGTGTAACATTCTCTTTTCGGGGTCCATGTTAACATTTTTATAGTAATTGTTATAGTTAACGTTATTGTTATTGTTATGGTTAATGTTAAATTCAAAATACAAGCTCCAAGTGGTTTTTAATATGAATGATACGGCTTATCTAATAAATAGTTTGGTTTCCTTGGGGGAGGCCATTAAGTTTAGTTTGGACGTGTTTTTACTAGTGATTTCATTTAATTTGGTTATTTTTTGTGCGGGATTGAGTGTTTCACTGAGCAATACAAGTTGGGGCTTATTGGAGGTTTATTGTAAGCTTATCGGGGGTGTGACACAAATCACTAGGGTTTCTTAAATACATAGGTGCTTGAAAGTATGCAACGGTATACTTTGTACTGCATACTTTTAGACACCCTTAAGGGCGATTTCAAAACTCTAGTGATTTCTTTGGCACACCCAAGTATCTTACTTGTTCACCTAGCCTCCAGTTTTATTATATGGGTTTCTTCTGAACTCCCCATCGATTGCCCAGTGTCCGGGATATCACTCTTCCGCCTTGCCTCTTTTCTAGACATATGCAAAAAGGCCAAGGTATTGTGCATAAAGGTACTTTGGAGGCGTGGTCTCTCAAAATCTCGCAACCCCTTACGCCGACATCGTCTTGACCGTGGACGGTACTCCGGACGTGACCATTGCCTTGGCGCTTCGCGCCACCATTGTCCGGATCCGTTCCTGGAGATAATCACAGATGGAGGTGTACTTCTGCTGGTGCGCCAACTGGAGGGCCGTCAGACCATCCTGGTTCTTCAGCAGGACATCACTGCCTGCTGCCACCAGTTGTTTGCAGACGGTCAGATGGCCAAACATGGCGGCGGCATGCAGAGCACTCTCTCCATTGGGCAGCTGGCCAAGATTGGGTCGATACTTGAGCAGCACCGTGATGACGGCGGCGTGACCCTTGTGGGCCGCCTTGAAAAGGGGCGTGGCGCCATCGCAGCGCACCGTGTCCACATTGGCGCCATTCTGCAGCAGCACCTTGCAGATGTGATCCTGGCCCATCTGGGCGGCTATCCAAAGGGGCGTGGCGCCGTCTATCCGCTTGATATCGATTTCCGCACCAGCCTGAATCAGCAGGGACAAAACTGTGCGATGGCCATTCTGGGCGGAGATAAATACCGGCGTGGCACGATCCTGAAAGGAGATGTTATATATTATATCTTTTATAATAAATAAATATTCTCTAAATACGCACCTTCATGTGGGCATTGACATTTGCTCCGCAATCCAAAAGTTCGCGTACAATCTTCACGTGACCTCCTTGGGCTGCCACAAAAAGGGGCGTGCCCCCATCGGCAGAGGGCGTGTCCACACTGGCCCCCGCCTTCATCAGGATCTTCACCACGTCCAGGTGACCGCCTTGGGCGGCGAAGAAAAGGGGCGTGGTTCCCGTGAGACGACGCGAGTTAGGATCGGCACCCTGATCGAGCAGCTCCATTACGCAGTATGTGTGACCTCCGGCAGCAGCCAAGATCAATGGGGTTGTTCCATCCTGGAAATAAGATGAGGTAAAGCGAAAAATTAAGAGAAGATTCCATGCATTTATTAATTATAAGCGTATATCTTAATTTTAATACGTATTTTTGATTTAAAAGAATAGATTATACTCTAGCAAAAGTAAGCGGTATGAAAGAATTGGGTTTGAATCATATTAAAACGATATCTAAACGTTTTTTTTAATAAATATGTTGTTGCATACTTTCATACACCTTCATAATTGTTTTCAAAGCCCTATGGATTTTATAAATACTTTATCATATCCATCAACCAACAAAATCTTGAAATATAGAAATATCCTCAAAATAATGGTCCCTTTTAATGACAGTTACTAGGAAATATAAATACAAAACGATTTATACATTAATCAGTGTTCAATAAGTTGTTTTTGTCAATTTAAATATTTAATCAAATTCAGAAATCAAAATAAATGAAACCAATTATCGAGTAATCCACCAAAAATTCACAGTTTACCCACGTTTATTTTAAATGCAAAGCGTTAAATGAAAAGCCAATTGTTTTAATTGTTTAATTGCCCATCAAATGATTTGAATAGCAAATTGCGATTAGTTTCACCAAGTCAACGCGAAAACGTTTCGTGCGGATTTGCATGCAAGTCTGTGGCTCGGACTCAACAAAAACTTAGCAGAAGAGAAGCGGAAAGTAAATTGAGGTATATCCCAGAGGGAAAATCGCGCCACAAATTGCAAATCACTCTCAATGCACTCGGTCTGAATCCAAATGGGGGAGTCACGTAGTGTCCGCCCTATAAGCGGACTCTTGCAGACCAGCTGGCATAATAATATAATATAATACCCGGCAATAGGATGGCACACTGCCCCCGCAGCCCACTTTCCTTTCGTTTGGTCTTGAGTCCATGCTTCGCTGAGCGGCCAGGGAAATTTAATTTCGTTTTTTTATACACTAGCAGAGGGTACTAAAATATTGCTTAAATGTTTGAAATTAACAGCTGGCAGTTTCACTTGTTGAGTGGAATTTATTCACTTGATTATCCGCCATTAGCTATTCATCTATTATAATGGATTGCCACAGTCAAAATATTTACATGCTATAAAGCTGAATCAACTGTAGAATAATTTGCAATTAGCGATGGTAATGCATTAGTTTTGACAAATGAAATGCAATTTTTAAATGAAATGAGTTTTATTAATTTAAAAAATTATCAGCTATTCATATATTGTAATAAATTGCCACACTCAAAATGTTTACATGATATAAGGTTGAATCAACTGTAAAAAAATTTGCAATTACCGATAGTTGGTTATACTGGTATTTTTCAAGTTAAATCAGTTTTATTTATATCCAAAAATTATATATCGAATAGCTTAAAACCAGAGTATATATAATTCGTATATATTTTATGAATCACACTGATTTTTGCTTTTGTTTTGGTCGGCTGTACGTTTGCTGCATTTTTCGTCTTCCTTACCAATTGGTGCGTACTTAAATAAGCAACGAGGTGTTAACTGATTTTTACGTGCTTAATCTTATATTTTTGGGCTAAAATTTCGTAATATTTAACTCGCAGAAGTTTCAAGTAGCATGTGTCATGCCTTAACGATTGCATGTTCAAAACTAAAGTGCATGTAGTTAAAACGATTTTATATAACCAGTCATATAAACTTAATTAGATGTTTGTGGCTATACTGTGCATTTATTTTCTTTATAACTCACCTCATCTTTGCAATCGACATGGACTTTTCCGCTGTCCAGAACTCGAAGAAGGGCCACCTCATCTCCCCGCATGGCTGCCATGTGCAGTTGCACATCCGATGGCGTCTCTTTCTGTTGGCATCGAAAACGAAATCAAATCAATTATCAAGTTCGCCCTGCAGCAGCTGTCAAAATAAAGAGATATTTGGGGAAGTGATACCCAAGCACCCGGGGCTTCTGTCCATGGACCCGGTTCCCACTTTATAGCCTTCCCCATTCCGGGGCGCCACGTGGGGAAATTACTTTTCCTGTTTACAGTAATTAGGGTCAGAGCAGTACGAACGAAAAATAGTTATTTCAAAGCGGATGTCGGACAACATTGAATGCATTTTTTCGAAATACATCTTAACCCTCAGATGGAGTGGGTTAAAAATAATCAAATGAACCAAAAAGATGGATTATAGATCCAAATAAAAAAAAATTAAGTAAAATATGACTCATTTTATAATTATTTGGTTTAATAACATGAATATCACCTATCAAAAAAATCACATTTATTTAAAAAATAATTTTTTCATCGATTTCACTTCATCGTTATCATATAATATCATATCATCTAATCCAAGAGTTCAAATTAAAAATATGTATTTCTACTATGCGCATAGCTCATTGGGACTTAAAAATTACTTCAAAATATTTTTGTAAGTTCTTTGACAAACACATCAAACTCTTGAACTTAAAATATTTTGTTGCATACTTTAAGACACCTTTATAAGTAATTTCAAAACCCTAGTGGTTTCTGAAGCATTACCAACTAAAATATAAAACAAAATATAATTAATGATATCAAGACTTTGTAAATTGTAAACCTTTCAAGGGTTAACATTCGCATGTCTGTCTCCCCATAAACCTGCACTAACGACGGTCACCCAAGTTGCAGCCCATGACCATTTGTGCAAAAAGGGGAAATGTAATAAATATTTTTTCCAGCTAAATGCGGTTGAAATGTCAACATTGCGTTAATGAAGCGAATTAAGTGGACCAGATGTGCCCGAGTGTGTGTGTGTTTCTTGTGCCAGGTAGAAGGAGGCATTGATGAAGTGGTCTGAAGCACCTGTTGAAAGGCAAAGACAAGTGAAAACCCTTACATGAAAATGACGTGACTCAAGATGCCATGTGAGAAACAATGCAAATGCTGCTGCGCTTTGAAGTGACATAATGACAATGAAGATGGTGATGCCATCGTGATAATCACGTTTCTGATGATGACGACAAAGATATTTATATTTATAGGCAGCAAGTAGCGAGTACCAGCCATCAGCAGGTAAGAAACACTTTTAAAGCTTCAGACATAATCTGGGCATAAAAGATCTGATAAGTTCGTATATTAATATATGGTATATGGGTATTGAGAAACTCTGTTAATACCGTTTTCATAAGAATCACTTCTTTGCTATTAAGATTTCTTTCTTTTACAGCTTTTACTGAAGTGAGTACTTGTAAAGCTCTTGCTTTTAATGTTTTAGTGCCCTGAGCTATTAAATTAAAACGGTGGCTAGCTATTATAAAACTAATAAAAAGAAAAATACAGTAAGTTATTTCTAGATTTTATGGGTATTTTCACCAAGCTCCTTTCCAACATTTGGCATTTGCCATCCAAGAGCCATCAAACTCGATTCGAATGAGTCAATTAAGTGCTATATGGGTCAATACTTGAGCATTTACTCACCTTAAGCGACATGCCTGCGGCTCCAATCTCTCCTGGCCTCTGGGTTTTCTATTTTGTGGCTCTGCAAGCGATTGCACCTGCTTACAAGCCCGTTTCCATTGACCGATTTTCCCGAACTGTAACGCTGCTGCTCCTCCCCTCCTGCAACTGCGACTGCAGCAACTTCTGGCCAACAGCAACAGCAATATGGCAACAAGATCAGCTAGCCAAGTGGCACCAAATCAAATTACAGCGAAACCAGCAGCCGCACCAACAACATCGGGCAACTTTAGATGCGGCATCATTGTCCAAGTGCAAGTCTAAGTTTAAATTTAATTCCAAGCGACCAGTTTCCAAAACTCAAGAACTGCAAATTGTGGGGGAAAAAAGGAGCACAGCCAAAAGGCACGGGCCACATTAAAATTAAGTTGCTGCGGACATAACAGGTTTCTTTTTCGTTCTCCAAAGCTTAGAATTATAATGCAAAAATAGGAGGGAAAAGAAAAAGTTGCCATCCCATTGGGAGGTGTTCCTGGGAAAATGCTGGATAAACGAAGCTTTGGTGAAAGGTGCTGGATATCTTTAAGTAACAATTTAAATTTTCCGCGAATTTTTTGATTAAGAATTTTAAATGTTTCAAAGGGTTTACAACGGAATCAAGCCAAACTTAAATTTTCTACTTTTCTTTTTAATGAAATCAGTTGTTTTTCTGTACTCTACTTATTCCAGTTACCTTTAAACTTTATATCCCCCTTTTTATAATAGCTGGCAATTATCCTGACAAAACCTTTTTAATTATTTATCAACGTATAAATGCAATTTCATTCAGATCGATACGATAGCTACATGCTATTAAAAAAAAAAACAAGTATTACCTCTAGACTGCCATTTTCTAATGAAGATAATTTTCTAACTTTAATATAACCCAAACACGATATAGAAAATGTTTGAAGTACCCTTTTAATAAAAGGTAATTTTTCTCGAAAGTATAGGCTTTGTGTAACTTTATGCACATCATGCGATTTTCTCTGTTGCAACAGCAAAACAATTATTAATTTTTTTTGCATGCTGTAATTTGTGTGTTGTTAATAGGAACTCCCCTTGGAAATTGACAGGCGGCTCCTCAGATGAGGCCTGACTTGGCTCAATCAACACGCAACAAGCCAACAGTCAAAGTGAATCATTTTCTTTTTTTTTCTTTTTATAGGCTTTTACTTTGTTGTACATGGCTGTATTAATTGCATTTCATGCAGTCGCACTTTTTTCTGAGTTTTCTTCTTGCCTTTTTTTTATGAGCATCATGGTGATGTTTCCCTTTTGCCTTTCAACTTTTGACCTAGAAAGTGCTTTAGTTTTTCGGGCTTTCCCCAGGGGGCTCTTCTTCATCATCTTCTTGGGCAGGCACGCAATGTGTGCTTCTGACATCATGAGTTCAAAGTTTTCTTTGCCTTGTACGATTTCTTAATTGCCCTATTCATATATTTTTTTTGGATTGGGTTACCATTCGTATTATATCTTAAAGATGCTCTGAATGGAAAAGCCGTTAAAAGCATCTTATGTGGTAAAGCCGGTCTTCTCAAAGTAGTCTAATTATAATTCCCCAAATATATTTGGTCATCTAGCTTCATTAAAAACACTAGGCGAAATGGATATAGTTAAAAGGTGATTTACTTATAAGGCATGTATGTTTAAATACTGATAAGCTAGCTCTTTGATATGAAGTCTGTTATACATGCTACAAGCTAGCCATATACGATAATTTCTATGCTTCAGGGTAATATCAGCTGATAAGATTATTTTGACAACCACTTGGTATGTACTTAAATTCACAAATGATCAATAGCTTTTAAAAACTAGTCATTATGAGCAGTGGTGGACCACAAATCGACTGACTTTGAGATAATTTACTACATTTATTTTGTAACACAACCATCGAACTCCATTATCACCCATTATAAATGATATATGGTTAGGTATATATTATTACCAGCACAATAAATAGTTTCACTTTCAATTCGTTTCATTCACCATTTTTCCGCATTATTATCGGTCTCCGGATTTTTGCTATTTTGTGTTTTAGCTTATAAATAGCATCTCACGTTATCATGATCTCATTTTATTTTATCTTTTTGCTCTCGCCTGAACTTTGCCAGGCGCAAATATATTATGCAAAAATTTCATAATCTGCTCCCACAAAAGGTCAACAAGCAACCCGTCCACTTGTGAATATCTCACCTCAAGAAGTTTCAGTCGCAAAACACAACTAACAACTATAAACCAAAAGTCACGCCGCTTGGGATTTTTAAAATCAACCGACGCGAAGTGGACCGATTGCGTTCAAAGTTGGCGAGCAACTGAGAAAGCCAAATTCAAAAGCGAATGGGAGAGCTGTAGCTCTTTTTTTTTTCTTTTTACCCTGTAATCGCAGTCTTTATGGACTGACTAAAAGTTATGCCTAAGTTATTGCACTTTGGTCCGTTTTAAATAAAACTAAAGGTGTAAGGAAAAATAACTTTTTTATTGGTTGTCGACTGTATTTTCTTAAGATTTTATTTTTTAATTAGTTACAGTAAGCACTACTGGTTAAAAATCTTGTATTAGGGTGTTTATAAGTACACTGCAAAGTATTTTGAATAGAGACTAAATTCTATTTCTCGCAGTATACTTTTAAAAATAAGACCTTTACTATAAACGAAGGATAAAGAAATTCGTCCAAAACTTGGATTGGAAATGCACTAAACATATAAATATACAAAAATTAAAAAAACACATTCTCAAATTTTTTTTAAATCGTTTAAAGTCTTATAAAGTTAAGGGAATATTTTTAAAGACCTTAGAAAGTTTGAAATGCTAAAATATTTGAAAAAAGATTATATATTTGTTTTATCTTATTTTCCTTTCAAAAAGCAGTAGGTAATATTTTTATGGAGATTTTTTTTCGATCTTTGATATAACAAAATCAGTATTACTTCTGATAGAATGAGGGGTAATCAAAATTCGGATTATTTCCCGTATATCTCAGAGAGAGAGAAGATCGCCCTGTGGCAAGTGCAATATAAAAGCTACAAGCAAACGTGCCTGACCCCAGGCGCCGCGTTGAAAGTTCATTGAATATCCGACGCCTATAAATAGGCAACGTGGACTGTAAATTCCGAGACATGGCGCGCATTAAGCCGCGATGAAAACAATACCACCCAGGCTAACTCCCACCCACTTGCAAATACACTCACTCACGCGAAATGGCAATAAAAGTGGCGGAGCCAACGGAATCCGCTTCCCATTGACGAAAATCGCTGCTGACATCGAGCGAGGTCAAAGGAGTCCCCGCTAAAACGCCCACCCAGCAGATAGGATAACCCACTGACTTTTCGCAAAATCAATACTCACATGCTAAATAAGTTATAATCCGCGATGAAGGAGCTTACAAATAATATATTAGGGCGCACTAACGGGAGACAGTTACTAGATGCACCTTTAAATATGCAATAGAATTTTCCCGACTCGAAATTTGTAGCCTTCTTTCAGGCCTTCGAAAGTGTTACCAGTCTATGATTGTTAAAAATTATACACCTATTTGCCATATACCAGATTTTTGTATTTTAAATTTGTATTCGGAGGGAGACAAGTAGTAATAATAAATAATTCATTATAATTAAATTTATTTTCATCATGCAAGTAAAAGCGCTTGGGTGTAAAATTATCATTTTTTTACAGTTATGACAGCTCTTACAGAAACATATTTTTTCACTCGCTATTATCTAATTATAGAATTCATTTTTTATTTAATAGAGGCATAAGCCTGCAAATCATTTTTTATTAAATAATATTAGTCGAAAGTATGAATAAAATACGATTTTTTGCCTAGAAATGCCTAGAAACAACTAAAACTTAAGGATGGAGAAAACATATGCATTAAAGTATGCTAGCGAATATTAGTGATATTATAAAAAAATAGTTCTTACAACTTATATTATTATCACAAATTATAGTCTACGTTTAGCAGGCCAGTTTCTAACCGTAAAATGTAATAAAATAGCATATTAAGTGCTTAAATAAAAAATACCGAAACTTAAGAAATACGTTAAGAAGTGGTCACCCCAAAAAGTAGTTCGCCAAACTTCCACCAGAGGGCGCCACGCGCAGCGCAGCCAACTTCACGTCCAACTGTCATTTCTTTCTCTTTTTCGCCTCCACCAACGAGTTGCGGTCGCTAGATTTGTAAATTTCTACAAAAAAGTGAGTTAATCGCCACTGGCCGATGATTTAATTAAATAATTAACAAGCTAATTGTTTTCCCTTAATTACAGCCCAATAAAATGGAGAACGACGCCGGTGAGAATGTTGATCTGTACGTGCCCCGCAAGTGGTAAGTGAAACACGTGTTCCCCGCGCATTTTGGTGGCCGGATTACTGACCCACCGATACCTTTTCCCTGCAGCTCGGCATCCAACAGGATCATCCACGCCAAGGACCACGCCTCCGTGCAGCTGAGCATCGTGGATGTGGACCCCGAGACCGGTCGCCAGACCGACGGTTCCAAGACCTACGCCATCTGCGGTGAGATCCGTCGCATGGGCGAGTCCGACGACTGCATCGTGCGTCTGGCCAAGAAGGACGGCCTCATTACCAAGTGAGTTTGGATATTGCCCTATTTAGTGGACACTTAGTAATCCCCCTCTTTTCATTGCAGGAACTTCTAAATATGTGTCGAGCCCATAACTAGATCTTGATTTGGTAATAAAGCGAATTCCTTTTGTAATTTAACGTAAAACGTTCGCAATTGTGTTTATTTACTTTTGGCATAAACAATGGAAAGACAACTTGTGTATTTCAGTGGACCGGATTATTACCGGGATTAATTACATGTTCTCCCATAGAAAATCCTTAACGTCGGTCTGTCAACAGGATTTATATTCAAACGTTAATCGTTTTAAATTTATAGGATTTACGCCCTCGTTTTGTTATTTTATCTTACGAAAATTAAAAGTTTGAGCAGTCATTTGAATGGCAGGATTTATATTCCAGGATTTATATTACCAATCGTATGTACCTTTGTAGTTCGCCTTAGAAAATTAGGGAATATCACAAAATTCTGGAGAATATGAAAAAATTATCCCGTCTTGTTCCTCTAGGAGGTTTAGTGAATATTATAGATTTTTTTCTTTTCCAATGTCTAGCTAATCAATAAGGATTGCTATTAATCAAGCTTGCCAATCAAAATACTCCTAAAGGAGGAAGGCTATATTTAGATTCAAAATAATTGAAAGTATGGTGTATTTTAAAGGTCTTTAAAAATCTACATTAAGATTGATATCGACTGAATTTAAATTTCTGCCAATTCTTAAATTTGTTTATTAGTTTTGTTTATACAGAAAAATATTTTATCGTAATTTAAACTTTTGGTAAAGAAATTCCAATAAAATCAAGATTTTGACCGAAAATATAATAGCTGAATATATGAAATTATTTTTGCAAGGAAAAACATTTTAAATTTTTCGCCACTCAGTATGACCATACAGCGAAAGCCAAAAATTTCAGGCGAATCTTCGAGACAGCGATAGTAATCGATAGTCACCCCAACTTTAGCCCACCCCTAGTTTTGTAAGCACGGTAACACTGCAAGTCAGAACTCGAGTGATTTTCGTCGCGTCGCGAATCGAAAAAAGATATATCTAATAAATCTCGCGAAGCACAATAAACATTTTCCCATCCTTGGGGGCAAAAGTGACAGTGCTGTTGTAGTTGTAGTAGTTTGGGGCACAAGCAGTGGGGGGTGGTACCAAAACAAACAAAAAAAAAAGAAAAGTAAAGGAACCCAATTGGAAACGGCAACTGCGCGTCCTTAAAAACTATGACAAAAGAAAAACAACAAAGCGAAAACAAACTGTGAGGCAATTTCCCGAATTACAAATATTTATGTAATGCAATAGGAGAACCATTGCCACATTGAAGCCACAGCAACTTGGACAGTATTTAGCAGACTTTTTACCTTTTATATTTCCGCAACAGTATATGGTAAGTAGTTGTTGGACCCTTATCAAGTGTTATATGTATATACCTACAAATGCAGCCAAACAAAGCATAATAATCCCCTTATGTTGACGGGTTTTCAATTCTTGCATTGTCGCGTGCTAGATTTCTGAGTCACTAACGAGTGATTCCAGGTGCAAGTCTTCAAACTGACTCACTGATATACACAATACATTTTTACTATCTAATGGGAGACAAAGCATTATGTTTATGCTGCATAAAAAAGCACTTAAACTTTAAACACCGGTTCGTGCTCTTTCGTGAAATTAAAAAAATCAAGTATTCGTTGTTTATTTGTTAGGAATAGTTAAATAGATATATTTGTTCTTGGGTTTTTTAAATAATACATATTTCTTGTGCTTTAATAAAATTCGTATATTTGTTATATCATTATAATTATCATCAAATCATTATGTGATGTCTTAAAAAAATATCTTAAAAATGTACATCTCTCTTTTTCTATAGACCTATTTCGTCATTCAGAACCATATTGTAATATCATTGCCAAAATAAATATTCTCCTTGCCAAAATCAAACTTTACAGCCGCCCATAAATATATAAATATCTAATGGGCAGGCAATTGCTTACATAGAACCTTGACATTTAAGGTGTGCTTTTCTTTTCGACACTCTCCCCTTTTCTTTTCTTTTCTCTCATTCGTTCCACTGTGCGCCGCCCACTTTCCGCCCAGTGCACTTGCACCTAAATTGCACCCAATTCGCACTGAGCGCGCGCCTCTCCCTCTCCTTCCTCTCTCCGCTGTGCCGCGTCATTCGCCATTAGTAACGGCTTCCAACGAACACTCAAATATACAAACATATATCCACACAAATACACACAAAAGCCCACGTCCATTCACTTAAATTTGTTATTTGTATTTGTTTTTGGTTTTGCGCTTTCGTTTGTTGTTGTTGTTTTGCCATATGATTTTTTATCATTTTTAGCCACAAAAAAAAAAAAAGAAAAACTGAAATTATCTAGGTGCCCGCAAATAAATAAATATCTTCTGTCTATTTGCTTGCACCCAAGTGTTCCCAAAGGTTGATTGGCGGGTACAGGGAACCCTTGATTTCAATGACAAACTGTCATTAAGTGACGGGTTCTTTATGGGTGTGAATTAAGATACTATATACTCGATACAAAACGAGCTGATAAACGCTGAAATGTAAACCTCAAGGAATTTGCATAAAAATTATAGGAAGTTAGAGTCAAATTTACGATAAGCTTAACAGACAGGTTCGTTTTCAATTTTTTTTTAATAATTCAAGTACCCTATTATAAGTCTTACTCATTTTATTTTATTATTTAGTTGATAAAATAATTTAAAAACAAACCCAGCCTCGATAAATTGCTAATTTTAGTGTTTAAGTATAACGAAGAAATTACGATAAAATGTGTATATCTGAAAACTCCAAAGTGCACTTTATCTTTATTTTACAATATTACTCATTTATTTAATCACTTTTGTTTAATAATTTTTAATTGTGGTTGAAACATTATTATAATGGTAAAAACAGTATATTCACCAAATTGTTATGGGTTGAAATAAAAAAGTTATTTAAAACCTCTTCCCTAATGTTTAATGCTTATTCCTAACAAATCGTTCAACCGACATTATACTTAAAATTAACTTTTCATGTTTGTGTTCGTTAAATAATTAAAAAATTTCGATGGTTTTTAAAAAGTATTCATTTCTAAAAATTTTAAATATCCAAAAACCATTTTAATATGATAAAACTAGAAAGATACCACTGTGATTCTCTGCGAGATCGTCGTGACTTTTCACTTTCCCAATCGACACACGCAATGCTGAAGCATTTCGTTTAAGAGTGATTCAATCAGTTTAATTGATCGCCCTGTTCAGCAGTACTCATGAGTGCTTATTCAAGTAGCTACATATATCAATTTTTTTGTTTACACTTATGATTTGTCTGCAACGCTCGCAATTTTCCCAGGTCAGTGCAAAAGTTCAATTTCTGCATACTTCTTTGCCAGAGCCATTTGATTCGTTTACATTGATTACACGGTTTGCCTTCCCAAGTTCTGATGGCACGCGCTAAAATACCACCCCAGAGTTGAAGCAGAAATATTATAGGCAAGTCCCCGGAGAATATCAAATGTAAATGTAGTCAGACAATTGTGTATTCCGTATAATATTAAGCATTGGATTTGGCATGGGAAATGCCTAAAAGGTAGAGGAATGAGAATTAGTTAAAACTTGGGTTTATACATTACCCCTCCCTAAGGATTTTGACTCTATGACCCAAAGAAACTACGTCTTATAATTTAAAAAGTTCTGAAAAGGAACCAGTTTTTCGAAAGTGTCTGATATTATGCAATAATAAATTTTAAATAAAGAAGTCTGATAGAGCCATTCTGAACCACAACATTTTATACTGCATACTTTTAGACACCTTTCTTAAAGGGTTTTAAAACCTTTACTTTTCCGTTTTTTATGTACTTTGAGTAATATTATGAACGACTTTTTAAGCAATAAATATTTTTTATTCCCTATACCTTTTGGCCCCAACCCAACAAAGTGGATATATTTTCATCTGTATCTTGTCTGCCCTGTTTCTCCGTCTTTTGCTTTTAAGAGACCTTGTGGTTGACTTACTCTTGTTTTATTTTCCGATGGTTCAGCTTCTGGTCTTATGGTTTAAATATTCATTAGTGACACACATTTAGCAATCGAGTATATATAGCTAACATCAGCGCTTCTCTTTCAGCTTACGCTTAGCACAACTTAGTGGGTCAAAGTTTGCACTCATATTCAGCCCCTTAATAATAGGCTTCCAATCGTAGCCCTCGAATGGATACTCTGTGAGTACTTTAGTAGAAAAGGTGTTTGAATAGCTCCAAAAGCATGACCTGTTTATTTGGTACGTAATCTGCATGGAAATCTTGTTTTATAGTAGTTTCCTCGCTGATTTATTACGGTTGTGAATAAACAATTATAAATCTTGATGCGATATCGATTGAGCTGAAATATTTATCTGTATACCGGTAATAACGACGTCAATCCGTTGGAATTGCGTATTGTCTGATATAATGGTGCAATTACGAAGAATGTGCATGCATTAAAATTTCGCTTGTAACAGTCAGTTGTTAACTTATTTGAATTATCAGTATTTTGATTATTATTTAAAGTCTACGTAGGTGAAATTTCGTCATAATGCGACAAATCGTGAATCTAATTTAAAGATAAAGGTTGAGCGTTCTTGCTATTTGAACTCATCATTTTATTTTTTCTTTCATTAATTACTAGGCGAACAACGTCAGCGATAAGAAACCGAGTTCAGGGTTATTACGTTTCAAAATGGGGGGTACATTTTGGCGTTCATTACCAAACATTACCAATACTTACTCAAATAATCGTATCCCAATAAAATGTTTTTTATATAGTTAAAAAAGTCTTTTTATTAAAGAAGATTTAAAAAAGTTGTAGTAATATAAATATGAAATGTATGGCAATATTGTTTATTTGTAATTTCTGGATAAGATATACAACTTATAAATGAATGCAATTGGCGTGTGGCTCTGCACATGAATCACCTTACAAATAGATCAAACTTAATTGTGCTTTATAAATGAGTCACACCTATCATAGCTTTAAAGCCAATGTTAGTCATACTATTTAAGGTGTTCAAGACAATAAATTCCCACTGGGAAATTCTCAGGGAAAAGGGATCCTTAGTAAAAACATCATTTTTGCGACTCTGACAAAATCTTATCCGCTTCCAAGCTGATTAATTTGGTAAGGTTGAACATTAAACTGGCTTTAAACCGGTTGTTTCCCGGCTATTTCTGTATCATATTCATCAAGAAAGAGTGAAATATGAAATTTAATAGCTTATATATGCACAATTCAATTACCATAGGTTATCTCAAGTCTCAAATTGGATTTAATCAAGAGTAATTATTCTGTCATACTAATCGTCCCAGCTAGCTTTTCAAAAAAAAGTTTTTGAGAATAATTACCAATAAGATGATATGGCAAAATATTCATTCACTTTATAATAGCTTTTATTAGCAAGCCCAGAGTTTAACCTTTCATGGGATGTAATGCCTTTGAGACCAAAATTTTCTGTAGGATGATATTGCTATTTTTTTAATGAACCCTAATGACAGCTAAATAGAAATTAATTGACTTATGTATGCTAAACTAGTAAACATTTGGACGCTGAGGCCGGCGTCACATAGCAGTTAATTTAATTTTAATTTGAAGGTCGTGAGTTTCCCATTCATGTGGGCTGGGTCGGGTATTCTTCGATATATTTGATCAATTTATTATCAATCAATTCACTCACCTAGACCTCTCCACCACGTAGGCTGAAAACAACAAGTTAAATTCTAATATTCTATAGCTTGTGTCGCAGTTGAGCTATCTTGAGGTATTTCCCTGATTTTGTTTGCTATCTTTAAGAATTAACCGCTCCTTGTTACTCGCCAAATTACAGCCCAAAAACTTTCCTTTTCTCAAACTCGCCCTTTTGGACAAATAGGTATAATTTTTCTTTCAACGTTTTCAGACATTTACCATAATTTCGTTTAGGGGCGTATCAGAGCACGCCACATCTACTATACAATATACATTTTGTACTTTATATTCTCAGCGACTAGAAGCCTTAGCAATTAGTTGTTTATTTAATATTCTGTGTCGGGAGAATCACTTATAAGTATGTATGGGCACCTTTGAGCGCGTAATCAAATTAAAATTACCATGCATTATATGGGACACAATAATGGAGACATGGGAGGAGGTAAACTAGCATGCAGTCCAAAAACATGGACTCTAAAGTGGGCACATGGCACAAAGAAACAGGGGAAGTGCCTTCTTATATGTGTGGTGTATCGTGACGTGATCAACATTATATGTTTGCATTGTCGGTACGTGTAAATAAAACACAGGCAAACCCACAACTCTGTTAAGCGTTCGTTCAACCAAGAGCCCTGAGCTTGGGCACTACATCTATGTATGCCCCATTGGGGCTCTCTGGCCAGAGAGCTACCTAGATCTGGAAAACCAGTTGAACATAACTCAGCTGGTGGCGTTGAAAAACTAGTTTCAAAGATTGAGTTTTTTTTTTACTGAAATAAAACTAGCTAAGGTGTTCAGGGGAGTCACACTTTTGATTAGGCAGCCAGGGGAGGTTGATAAGTTATTAAAAAAAAATCTATATAAAATAGGAAGTACCATTTATGGGTTTAAATTTCTACCTTTTTTTAAACCTTATATAGTTCTAACCCAAAAGCAATGCAAACATATGATACAAAATTTTTACTGCATACTTTTAGACACCATTATAAATACTTCAAAAAACCTTATGATGCTACAATTTGTAAAAAAGAATCACTTGACCTATTTTATATTTTTTATATTTAGTACATTTTCCATTGTTTATAAACAAGATATATTTTATTATAATCTAACTAGGTATTCGATTATTATCTTTGCAAAATTTGTTTGTACTTGAAATTAATAAATATTTGTTTACATTTTTTTTCCCTTCTTGCTGAAATCGCAACAAGCTCAAATCTCTTTAAATATTATAAATGTTTTTCAGCATTTATATATATTTACTGATAAGATATTATGCAATGAATTTATTATTTTGCAAGGCATTTCTTAATTAATCAAAAGACAATTCGCGACTGACCGTTATTCCATGCGGCAAATGAAATTTATTTCAATTTCTAGAAACTTTTTGGGATAAAAAATGGCGAGTATTTGCCTGTTTGTTTATGGATACATTTATTAAGCCAAAGCGGACGTTCTGGCGGACTCTTGATGGAAATTAATTGCCGAGTTTCTGTTGGGTTAATAAAAAAAAACACGAGTACACGCAGCACTCAAAGAAGTGACCCAATAGCTACTCAACACTTTGAGTGAAAGAGCAGCGGAGAGCCAGAGATACCCTCTTTGAGTCAGAAATACGTAAACTCACAGCCAGGGAAGATCGGCTGTAAATATACTCACTTCAGTCTGAAAACTTTGCGACTCGGGCGCTGATCGTTCGGAAAGCGTTTCACTAACTATCTAATAATCCCATATGGTGCACTGGCAGTCAAACAACTCATAAATATATCGCCACATACCGTGCTTTGTGTGTTTTCGTGCTATTTTCGTTACAATACCAAAACCAGAGAGGAAGGGAATATAGTGCTGCTACTAAAATAAAAAAAACCTAATGGATATGTCCGTCACGCACTTGCAGTTTCTGGTTTCCTATAATCATCTGTGCAACAAATGAAACCGAAAGCGAAACGCAGAAAATTAAATTTATTACAATGGTGGGTGCCTATTATAAGACTATCTATGGCCTACTCCCCCGTTTCCGCTCTAGTAAAATTTCCTGGGGTCCCATCAACGCCCTTTGACCTCAGCATTATACATATTATTTCCTATCGTAAGCCAAAATATTTGATTCGAATCTTGGCATCAGGGGAAAAAGTGAAACAACGCAGTTAATTCGATGACTCAGTAATGGAAGATTTCTATTGAAAACAATGAAATATATATGATATCGATAAAGATTCTTATCGGGGTATCCCTATAAACCTAATGCAATCACGTGTTACTATTCCTTCTTGAAGTTAAGAGGTTTTAGGTAATTCAACCACGAAAATAACGTTACATAATCAATAAAACTAAGTTATCTAGTAAAACCAGACAGTTTAATATTACATGGATTATTAAATAAGTAAATGACCTTTATTGGTTAAGTATTTCCTATCCTATAATGTTTTTAAGGAGTTTTTGGATAAACAGGTATTCTTTGAGTGCGAAAGCTTTAGGTACCATATAAAATGTGTTCACTCTCAGTTAGCTTTGTCTTTGACTTTTGGCTGGCTTTATCTTATCGCCAGTTTGTCGCCGTCAAATTTGTTGTCAACTAAAAGCTAAACTAATACAGTAGACTAAATAGGAAAAACATCCAAATATGTGTGCAAATGCATAACCTTAACACCTTATTTATGGTTTGTGAGCCGGCTTAATTCATTGTTTGTTTTTGGTCTAAAATGGGTTTTCTAATATGGCAAGCCTTGATTTATGGAGACATCTGCCTACTAAGGTTGTGTTTCCGGTTTTTTGTGGGATTACAAAAGTAGGCCTTAAATTACATTTTTATTATCACTTAAACATTTATTTTGAAAGATGGTATTAATCATCGCAAGTCATAAAAGTTAAAATACGTCGAGATACAACATCTCTAAAAATAAATCTATTTTATATCTTTGGTAAACAATATAAAACCTTTTGTTTATGGAATTACTTTTTTAATAGCTACATATAAACAATTTTCCACCTAATGTAGAGCAATTAAAAGAAAGAAGCTTTTTCTAAGAAAAGTTCTTATCAACGATAATAACGCTTTTACTCTGTCTAGGCGAGAAAATATAATAGCTGTGACGAAAACAACGACCCCATAACCATTAAAAAACAAATGTAGCAATTAGCCAAAATAAAAAAATGGTTGTTAAGCATTTCAATGTATTTAATTTACCATTTAATGTGCAAGTATTCTCGCTTGAGTGCCTGCCCCACTATATGGATATACATACATCAACAAGAACATTTCAATTGGTTAATATAGAACGACAGCTCAATGGAATTGCAGCTTGTAGCCTGTCCCAATGCTGTATTGGTTTTGTTTTTATTTTTGAAATTGTGGGTGTCAAGTTGCTGGCAGGCATTATTATCGATGCCTCTGTATCTTGCCATTTGTGATGTCCATGTGCGCCTTTTGATTGATGGACGGCTCTGCTGGCTTAGAATCGTTGCTGGCATAATAATGCCAAATGCCCATGGGCCCAGTTTTGCCATCTACCCTTCTGAAATATTCCTTCATATTCCATCACCACCCTTGGGCGATGTCACTCATTTGTTTGATTGTTTGCACCCAGTAGGGTTGAGCAACATCAAGTTAAAATATTTATTTGTAGTTGAGAAAGCATTTACAAAAGAAGTTTTCTTATAAACAATTAGAGAATGTCGAGAATGTCTTCGCACACCGTCCTATGATGAGCTTATACAGTGCTCACAAGATGAAACTCAAGAATTCGCGTTAAAAAAACAGATTATTGAGTTATCTTAAGTTCCAAAGAGATATAGCCTAGAAAGTTTCCCAAAACTAAGATGCTCACAGCACGAAACTAAAGAATTCGCGTCGAAAAAAACAGTTTATTGATTTATCTTAATCTCCAAATAGATATAGCCTAGAATGTCTTTATAACTATCCCATAACAAAGATGCTTACAACATAAAACTCAAGAATTCGCGTTAAAGAAACAGATTATTGATTTATCTTAATTTCCAAAGAGATATGCCTAAAAACTATCCCATAAATCATCCTATGATGAGCTTATACAGTGCTCACAAGATGAAACTCAAGAATTCGCGTTAAAAATAACAGATTATTGATTTATCTTAATTCCTAAAGAGATATAGCCTAAAATGTCTTTAAAAACTATCCCATAACTAAGATGCTCACAGCACAAAGCTCAAGAATTCGCGTTATTTAATAAACAGATTATTCATTTCTTTGAATTCCCAACATTTCTAAATGTTATCTCACTGTTTTTATTTTTAAAAATGTAGAACATAAGCCAGTAGTTCTTCTAGATTTACTTTTAATTTATTTATGCATGCCTTTAAGGCTTCTTTATGGTATTGTGGTGTAGAGTATAGAATACCCCTAATGCCACCATTGGCCTGGGTCGGCTGTGCAAACATTTGCATTTGCTTTTAGAGCGAACAGACCAGACACCAAATTCAATGTTTATTTAAATGACACCCTTTGGCTCCGTGCCACGGTTGGGTACCTTGTTTTGTTTGATATTTATTGGTTTATCCAGCCAGCCCATCGATTTGCCCAGCCTTGATGTGTTAATTAAGATGTTTATTTCTTCTATTTGCAGTTGAATTAATATAGGATGCTGCCCAGCCTGGACACCTTAATGCGTTGCTCGAAGCGAGTTCTGCAATCGCCGCTGGAGGCGGCTGCCAGCCAAATGCGGAATGGGCGCAGCAAGTCGGCTGCCGGGGGCATCTATGGCCCCTTCACGCCCGACAACGATCTCAGCTGCTCGGGACGAGGTGATTGCGTCAACAACACCTGTGTCTGTGACATTCGGTATGCGGGCAATGAGTGCGACATCTTCAATCTGCCCTACTATGTCGGCATCTCCACCGTATTCTATGCGGTGGCCCTCGTCTCGGTCATCCAGCTGCTCATCTGCATCGTGGCCGAGTACCAGCGTCTCAAGCAGCCCTCCATCCTTCGAGCCTGTCGCATCACCACCCAGAAACTGCTCTACTTCATGGTCTTTGTGGCGGCCTCCTTGCGAGGTGCCTACTTCACCACTCCCGTGAGTAATCCCTTGAAGTCCTTGGAACATTCAATTTAATCCTATAAATATCCTGGCATTTCAGTTGGATCTGCAGCCACAATGGGCCGTGACCCTGATGTCCGCCTACTACCCATTGCTCATGACCTGTGCATCGCTGATTGTGTGCATGTGGGCCGAGGTAAGTGTACAATGGAGTGATTTAAAGATGGAAAGAGGAATATTAGTTATAAGTTTGGAATAGGAAGGTTTCTTTAAACTGAGAACGCTCAATAATAGTTATGTACAATTGAACATAGAATCTATGAGCAACGGAAAGGGTATAAGTCTTGAAAAGAAAGATCCCTTGAATCTCAGAACGCTCAATGATAGTTCTGTACATTTTCTAGTCTATAAAAAGAATCAATGAGAAGGTGAGGTGACTCAACAAGAAGAGAGTTCTTTAAAGATGAAAGGGGATGGTTAGTTATATGTCTGGAATAGGTAGTTCCTTTGATACTCACAACACTCAATGATACTTCTTTACAAATGAGTCTTTGCGTGATTTAATGATGGAAGAAGAATGGTTAAAAACCCAGAACACACAACGATAATTACCTACTATTTTTAATAGGAAACCCGGTATAATTATATAATCTTTAAGAAAGATCAATGAGTAATGATTTAATGATGGAAATAGGATAGGTAGTACTTCTTTACAATTGAGTATGAAACCTGGTATCATTTTATAATCTTTAAAAACAATTAAAGACAAGAAAATCACTTATTAATATGGCTGTTGTAAGGCATAGTGATCCTATTAGGTCCGATTAGATAGTAAACTTGTAAGCTGAGTATCTACAAATATTTTCACAAAACCCTTTTTGTTTATTTTTGTGGTATTCCCCGCATTTAGTTTTTTTCCATGTTTAAAAATACAAGGTATATTAAATATTTGCTGTCAGGATAAACGTAAAAGATATAAAGACTAACCATTTCTTTAATAATACCCATTTTTACTGGTAACAACGTATTACAGTACAGATAACGTATCTCTGTAAGCATATTTAATAAATTTCTCTGATAAGTTAGAGCTAGGGTAATATTTCTAGTCACGAGTCCGCCACTAAGTTGACTAAGTAATCATCTACAAAATGGCGTTCGAACAACCTGACGTAGCTAAATTTAATTGCACCCTAACTTTGAGAACCCCGAGAACTCTGAGAGCCTGGTATGTGGCTCTGACTAGCCTGAATTCTGAATGGTTCTATTATCGAACAAGTAATGGTATTGGGTTCACTTGTACTTGCCATACACATTCGTATCTAATGAATGTGCGATAACAGAAGTCGAGTGCAATTGTACCCGAAACTCGAGCCAATTTTATTGTTTTTTTGCAAACCTATCTTGGGGCCTTCCCTGCCGATAGGCCAGCACAGTTAATTAAGTTTTGAGGCGAGTGTACGTACACCAGCACTTGATATGAAACAGAAACTGTGGGTGAGAAGACTCTCGGGGGAATCTAATCGTCCATTGTTATTCATTCGCATTTGTTCGGTTCACCATTGCAGATCTTTCACCTGCGCGACATCCGTTGGGAGAAGTCGCAGTTCCTGTCGAAGAGCTTCCTGGGCTTCGTGGCCTTTAACTTCTTCCTGTACAGCCTCTTTGGCATCGAGGTCTTTAATTCGCTGATCAATTCGGAGCGTCGCGATTACGCCCACATCTTCAACGGATGCTATGCAGTATTACTCCTGATCGTGGTGGTCTTTTTCCTCATCTACGGCGTGGAGGTGTTCTTCAAGCTGCGCGGCGGCTTCGTTTACGATCAGACGGGCAAGATCCTGGGTCCCAGCGAGGCGATTGTGAATGCCTCGCAGTTGCATCAGTCGCGATTCGGACTGCTCAGTCAGGCCGTAATGCTCATCGTGATTGTGGGCTTTCTCACCTCCGAAACTTTAGGCGACTTCTGGAAGGCCAAGTGAGTATAAAGTTTTTCAATTTAAATAGCAGCTGTTCGTTACGACTGAAAGCTTTTCATTTTCCCACTCTAATAAAGGGTACCTGTTAACTCGCGCAACTGGCATGACATCATTTTCCGTATTGCCGAGATCGGAGTTGCCCTGTGGTTTCCCTGCTGCCTCTGGAATTCGATGGCTCCCGAACAGCTCTGGATTTTGAATCCTCGCAAGCTTCTGTCGCGCCAAATTGATCCATCGATACCCACGTTAAATGCCGACACCAACAAGTTGTCGCCCGAGGAGGGCCAGTCGTTTCTGAACAAGAAGGATTGCTGGATTTGCTACGACACCGACAAGCCGGAGCCCCTCATCCAGCCATGTCGCTGCACTGGCGATGTGAGCTCGGTGCATCACGAGTGCCTCAAGCGCTGGCTGGTCGAGAGCTGCAGCAATTCGGAGGCCCAGTTGTCCTGCAAGGTCTGCGGACATCCCTACGAGATCGAGAAGTCCAAGAAGTAAGTGCAAATCAATATAGGTCGCCGTGATGGAATTTTTTGCAGTATTCCAGAAGTATTTATTTGAGTTATTACTGATAAAAAGGCTTTTAAGACTTGGGCTACAGCCAAATAAATTTACTACAATGATAAGATTTAGTGGTACTCGAGTAAAAGCTAATGGTCATTAATAAAAAATAGTTGACATCAAAGTTTTTGGAAAGTATTAGATTGGCAGCTTGTTGATTCAAAAATGAAAGTATTTACTTTTTATAAAAAATGTGTTTTAGTAATAGAAAACCCAATTGATTAAAATCTGCAAGCATTTCAATACAACCATTTGATAGATTATTAATCCTACTGTTCTCTCTTACAGACTCGAATGGGAGAAGGGCTTTACCATCCAGCATTGGTCCAAAACGGTCATTTTGATCACCCTGATGTGCGTGACTGGGGCGACAGCCTGGGTGGTCATCCAGATGTACCTTGATCCCCTAGTGCGAGTTATGACCGTTGGCATCGCCGTCCTCATTGGCTACGTGTGCGTCAAGTGCCTGGGCGAGAACACCGTGGTGGCTTATCAGAGGGCCAAGGTCAGCTCGATCAACATCGTTACCAGTTCGGAAATGGAGAAGCTGCACACCATTTGCGAGGAGGTCAGCGCCAGCACCTCGGCAGCAGCTGCCCGGACGGGAGCGGCCTCCTAAGATGCTAAGAGGAGGGAAATTCGCTCCAGGAAACACACATCACACCCAACACACACATCAGCTGATCTTTCAGACATTACAACTTACTTACCTAGTTTAGCATGCGTTTTGCACAGGTTTTGCTCAATGCTCAATTATTAGTTTACACACATCACACATGGGGCGGGTTCTAGAACCTGCCTTCCTATCCTCAACTGTGTACATAGGTTTAACACTCTAGTGAGTAGCGAAAAACGTTTCGATTAGCGAGTCAATTTTGTCTCTCAAATTATCATGCAGATTTCCAAAAGCGAATTGTATTAAAAGAAGCCAAATATTATGTAGTATAAGTGTAGGTCACTCAGTATCAATTGCAAAGCCGAAACAGAAACGAGAACACCCTGAGATTATGATAATGAACGCGTTGCCAAGTAGCCTGAAGAGCGGGGAAGCTAAAGAGATAAAGCTTCGATGCGCCAGTGAGTCAGCCCATGCTGATCTATAGTTTATAGTTCTACTTTATTTTGTTTACAACTAATTTATGAAAGCATTTTTTGATTTCCTCCATTTCATTTTCGGTTTCATCGATGGATGCAAACAAAAATCAAGCGAAACACGAGTACTTGGCGAATATTAAATTAAGCAAATAAGTTTTTACTTTGTATTCAATTGGAATAAGTTTCTTATTAAATCTTAAGTTACGCCCTTAAGAAGTCTATTTATAAAATAAGTTACTCCCCCATATACATACACACGTACATATATAATATATATATATATATATTTAAATTTTATTGTAGTTGCTACACAAAAATTTGTCAAAGCAAAGAAAAACAAAACAAGAACCACAAAAGAAGGAAAAATCCAACATATAATTTAAGTTACCATACAATTTTTGTGATAAAAACAAATAAAATACAATTTGTAAAACTCAAATTAAATTGTTTTAACTTTGATATTAAATTTGATTAGGAAATGGAATAACAACTGCGTTTAACGAAATCTTTTTTCTACCATCAACACTTTAGTAGGAAATAGTAAACAGATAAAAAATCATTGCTTTTACTCGATGTTATCGATGGTTCAGACTATAACTATCGAAAACATCGAGTGGAGGCCCTATCGATGTTTTTACAGCCTAGATGACCCCTCTGTTATTTTTTACCTCTGCCAAATAATAACGCATTTCAGTTAGTTTTCGTTTAAGCCTAAAGTTTATTTTACACGTATTTACTACAAAATATATGTATTATATAGCTTACTTAATATGCATACATAAAAGCCATGTCAAGCTTTGACTAACTTTTCAAATTTTGCATTAAACTATTTTAGCAACATTAAAGCGGAAATATGTTTCTTTTTGTATACATAATGCAAAATAAGATCAACAACATAAGAGGTTAACCCGAATCGAAAAGCGTACAAGCTAGTCGTAACAATCGCAGTGTAAATTTAAATTCACAAAGTATAAGATACAAGCTGCAGAGCCTGCATTACAGTAGTAAAACATAACCAATGCACTGTGCAAGTAATAAATATTTAATAATATTTAAACAATGGCTCCATCGCATGGTTAATAAACTAGACCAATTTTGTTTGATTATCCTGAATTATCCTAAATTTAGACTTAGTTTTTCAGCTTTGGCGACGCTTTGCCTGGTTTAAGCTAAAATTAGAAACAATTCAACTAGTAAGTCCAGAGTTGGCTATGGGGTTTTGAGATGGTTTTCTTCTTTTTTTTTTGGGGTCAGTGGATGGGAACGGGAACGTTTGTTTGGAGTATAGATTTAAGTAACGACGGCCGAACGCTTGTCACGATTCTTTCCACGTGTAATGGAGCGTGCCTTGAATGCAGCAGCATTTACAAGGTGCTAAGGAAAGAAAATAAAAAATAGTATTACAACTTGGAATTATAGGTCCCCTTTAAATCAACTTACCCGCTCCAATTTGGACTGCTTGACCTTGGCGTTGCCATTGATGCCGGTGTTTGTGGGTCGCGCTCCCAGCTGGAAAATGTCGCGAATGAATTCGTTCTCCTGCAGCTGCGAGGTCATCCCAGGACCCATGACCGTGCACATGGCCGAGTACTGATGGTGTATAGACCAGGAATCCAATGTCAGCGATTCATGACCAAAGCGAATGCTTATCTCCGGGGAAATGTCCTCCTGCAAACAAATTAATAAAATACATTAAATCATGGTAGGCAATGCCTAAATATTCCAATCTAATTTTCTAAATGTAGGTAACGCCTCACTTTTAGTTTTAGTTTCATCCAAAGCAGACTAAATTCTATGTACAACAGAAATTTCCAGTGGAAAACATAATTCTTCTACAAAAAAATTTAAAAAAAACGTTTTTGGCTTTTCTCTTTTTTGCAATATTTTATATAACTTGCTATCAAGATGATGCTATCAACCTATCAGCATGACTATGTGCCGCCCAATGCCAAACGGTACGAGTTTCTCACGCGACCCAAGGGCCTTGAAGGACACACAGGACCGCAGATCATTGAGTGCCAGTGCGTGGACGAGTCCAAGATTCAGATGCCTCCCAACGCATCCAAGGATTGCGGCGGTGTTGAGTGGACGGGCATAGCGCCAATGGGAAAGCTGGTGGATCCGCGGATCATACCCACTCAACTGACCCAGGATCAGGTGGACAAGATGGCCTTCTCGGCGGAGACGGATTGCTTCAAGCTGCAGCCCAACCGCTTCCTCAAGATCCTGCGCACCGTCTACCCTGATCTGTACGAGCGACTGAAGGTGATGCCCAAGGAGGAGTTGAGCCGCAGGCTGGAGACCAACCGTATGTTCACAACCTATCAAATCGATTACTGTGCCATGAACGAGTATCCGGAGGGTATATATGAGAGCCTAAAAACGGAGGACGAGTCGAAGAATGCCAACAAACTGATGAGCGAACGGGGACCCTGCAATGAATTCCGCTCAAATGTGATGAACGAACTGGAACGCGAAGCTTCTTCGGGCTACGAGGTGTCCATTGACGAGTGCCAGAAGACGTATAAGCCATTCAAGACCAGCTTCTCGGACTCCTCGCAGACCATTGAATCCGGCAGCAGTTCACATTGGAATTCAGCTCCAACCACCTACCGCAAAGTGCCGACCTTCAGCGAGTACATGGACTCGATAAGTCGCAATGGTTGCGTTATTATGCGCAACAAACTGCACGATCACTCCAAGTGCCTGGCGAAATACTGCAAGCATGAACTTAAGTTCACTTGCAATGATATGAAGTGAACCCGTAAATATATGTGCATCTCGATTCCAATAAATATGTGTTACACAAAACAAATATGCCGTGTTCTTAATGGGTGGTACTAGGACACTCACCTCTAGGTAGCGCAACACATCCCGGAAGGTGGCCCGCTGAGCCTTGCGATCGCGTTTGGCACGATATTTATGCGAATCTGTGGCCAACTGCTTGACAGCCTCGGATAGTTCAGCAATGTCATCTTCCAGGAAATCCTCGTCATGGGAACGGCCCGACTCCAGAATCAAAGCAATGGTCTCGCCAGCGGCCATGCGGACATCCAAATGTGTGGATTGCAAGAGGCCCAAAAACTTCTTAATAGATCTGCAATATTTCGATATCAACAATTAGGGCAATGTAAAGATTCTTGGTAGTAACATAAACATATCAAATAAGATTGAATTTCCATTCCTTCTAACATATTAACTATACCGCTTAAAACAACTTACGGAAACATGTTTTGGCCAGTGGTCATCAAGGAAACAAAATCTCCAGAGGGTATAAGTGTGAGTAACAATCCCCAGGCGTTCAAGGCCTCCGCATGAAGAGTGCCAGCCTCGGCGGTGACCGAAACCGGTGTCTTGTCATCGCCACGCAGATAGCTTCCGGCGAAGATGGCCTCGAAGCACTGCATCAGCTGCACCAACTCTCCCACATCCTCGCAGCCCAGGAAGCTCAATAATCCCAAAGCTGTACAGCACTTGGCCCGAGCATCAAAGCCCACGGATTTGTCCTGAACGGTATTCAAAAGGAACTGATTCATCGCCTTGGAGACGCCCTCGTCGCCGCCCATTTGGAGCACCAGGAGGGGGGCAAGTCGAGCGCCCCACACCTGCTCCTGACCTTTGCCGCGACGGATGCTCTTCTCCACAAAGTCCATCAGGGTCATCTTGCGGTCCTCGACGAAGTCCGGCATGTAGCGATGCATCAGCAACTCACAAATTGCCTGGAGGGCCTGCACACGGGTCTGGGCCGACTTTTCGGTGGCCTGCTCCAGGGCCTTTTCAAACTTCTCCTCGAATCGCTCGTTGGCCAACTCATCGGTGGCATCAGAGGAGGCGACCTCGGATACATGCGAGTAAACGCTCACATTGTCAAAGGACTCGTCCTCGGAATTGGAGTCATTGGTGCGGCCTATGGAAAAATAATAAAATTGATTACTAAGATGTTAAGAGATGAGCATTATGTGTATTAAACTAGGTTTTCAACTTTTGACTATCTATTTTATAGGATTTTTTTGTTGAACAACTTAAAAATGAAAGTGATTAGTAAGATGTCAACAGATTATCATTGTATTAAACTGCTTTTAACCATTTTTACTATCTATTTTATAGGATTTTTTTTTGGTCCAACAACTTTAAACTTGGTTTTGCTATAAAGAAAATCTATTAAACAACTAATAAAAATCCAATAACTGCTGTAACGTGGTGATATTCCAAGAAAGGTTTTTAACCCACAACATTAAATGTTTGTAAAGAAAATAAACTTAGTTTTGAACCCTCTACGTTTACCAGTACAATCTGGTATGCAAGAAATTTCTGCTTACTGGCAGATTTTTGAAATTGAAATACCTCATTTGTTTATGGAATGGTTCGACTTAACTCGGGTCATTTATTTGCCAACGACGCAAATAACATTATATACATAAAAAACAGTGAATACTAATGACAAATCGGTGTTCTTTTAAACTCGTGCCTATTCTATTTTCGGATCCTTAATGAATTTGTTTGTTAAATGGGTTACAAAATTCTGGAACCTTTCCACCCAGTGCTTGTCAAACCATCCGAAATGAGGCAACCGAATGGAATGCTTAACTTTTTACGTCTTCGCGCAGCTTTTAATTTGGCTATGTACCCAATTCCGATGAGAAAATATACATATATGTACGGGCAAATTAGAAATTCAATTACATGCTTTGCCACACAGCAATGACCTTCACAACAAACAGTTTGGGAGCCAATGTTGTGCAACAAGTTTTCTTTCTTTCCTTCTCTCTTTGTTTGCGGGCTAACTGCGCCGAAGAAAACCCGTCGACGACCACAACTTTCATCATGGCGATTTCCCAGCGCCTGTTTTCTATTTGGGGCAAGGTAGTTTCCGCCTCGTGTTTTCTCGCCTTTCACAAAAAAGCTCAAACGAACTAGAAAAGCATGCGGTAACCAAAGCAGAAAACAAAGTAAAAAACAGCTGGTTTTGTTTGAAAGTTGTTTGGATTAGATTCGGGTGAGTAAACCATCTGGGTTTGAAAGAAGGTGGAATGCATAACACACAGTTGCATAATATTACAAGTCACCGATAAGGTACTGAGAGAAGAGAAAAGTATCTTACAGAACGACTACTTCCGCCTCTTTATTATTTAATTAAATATTTTTCAGAACAATGATAGTCTCAATGAGGCTCTATTTTATATCATTTAAGTTTGATTTTATGAGGAAACCTCCTTATCTCTATAAACATTTCTGAAATGCTAAAGAGTGATGAAATGGTGAAATGAGTAAACAAAAACGTAATAGAAGAATTTTTTCAGAGAAATGTATACCATTTTCGGAAGAAAACAATAGAAAATAAACCCTAATGTCTTGATAAGAAACCCCAGGCCCTACGAAAACATACCCACTGAAATACCCTACACTGAGGTATTCCCATTTGCTTGTTGTTATTGGCGTGATTCTGATAAGCTGGCATTGAACGTTCACATATGTACGTATATATGTGTTTGGACACACAAATATTTGAATGTGTATGCCACTCTTACAGCTGTGTTCAAGATAGTAGCAGCAGGGAAATTTAAATTTCTTAAAGACAAAGTATAATTTTTTGATTTTGAAATTATGAAATTAAATTATAAATTCTATTAAGATTAAAATGGTTTAAACCTTAAATTTGAAGAAAATTTAAATGTTTAAAATCTATTTATCAATTTATTTTAATAAATATAAAATAAAGCTATAAGGGAACTGTATAAGGTAAGTCAAAAAAATATATTTCTTAAGTGCTCCTTAGTTATAATTTGTTTAAACATTTAATTATATATTTTCTTGTGACCACTGCTGTCTATATATGTACAGTGTACATATATTGAGTGTTCCGCTGATTACTGTTGTTGCGTAGCCAGCTGAGCGCGTGAAGCTTTTTCGTGCCAGCACAGCAACAAAACGAAAATAATCATTTCGAGGGTATTGCCAAACAGGTTGTAGGTAGCCGAAATAAAAGCTTCCATCGTTTGGAAGCCAACGAAATACACAAAACATTGCACAGTGTATTTATTAGTCAGTGCATGACTAATGCAAAGGTCAAACCGAAAGCAGCTGTAAAAATTTCCCCTGCACTCGCCTACACGAAAAAAATATGATGCGATATGATGACCAATTATAAAAAACCCGGTTTATGCGATCAATCCTACTAGATTTTAATTTAATGGAGCTTTTAATGTGCTCACAAATTTCTTACAAACAAAAACATAGAAAAATTCCTCGGGTCAGGGTGGGATTTAAATCACATCTGTAAGACCTCCTTCTTTTCTTCCTGTGCACACCCACCCACATTCTTTGTGACTCACCTTTGCCTGCTGCTGATTTCTTGTTGCGTCGCGGCATGTTGCTGTTGTTTTTGCGTTTTTCACGTATTTTGTTTGAACTCGACGACGACGTTTTGGTTTCTATTGTTTGGCCTGCTGCTTCGAAAACACAAAGAACGAAACACAAAAAAGCCGAACAGATGCTTTGTAGCCGAGTGTCCTTTTTGTTTTTTGTTGGCTTTGGTCCTCCAAAGATGGCAAAGTCTCCACGAAAATGTCTACACTCACGTCGCTTTGGCGGCAACTGAAACGCACGTGTTTTTTACGCTCCGATTTATTGATTTTGAATTTCTCTTTAGGTTAGAAAATTGGCTTCTTGAGTTTTAATGGGATATTATTTCTTATACTTTCGGTTATTTAATGCGCAATGTTACCGATCAAGACGCACCTATGCAACGTTGGTGTTTCCAATTTTTGGCAATTCTACACGACTGTCTTTGCCGTTTGCAATTGTTCAACTCCGATCGCGATTGTTGCGGGCGTATCTTATATATAGTCTGCTGATTCTGATTCTGCTGCTGCGGCTGCTTTTGCTTGGCGATGATAATACAAAAATGTCGTACTCTGGTCGTCGTTGCAGCAAATTTCATGTTTATTGGCAATGAAGTCACTTTTCTCCGCTCTGGCAGACACTCCACTCCGCCCACAGTTCGCAGCGCGGCTCTTGTGAAATCGAATCCGCTTTTCTTTTCGATTTCTGGTGCTACAGCGTTGTTAACCCCCTCCGATATTGGTAGCACGGTAGCGCAGCTTTCGGAAAGCTCTGCGTTTGGTTAAAAATAATGCAAATAATTAAGCACTAATTCGATTGCTGATTTTTACGAAATGAAAAAGTGAGTGACCATATGCGGCAACGGCGGAGAATACCAAAGATGACGGTGAATTCATTAGGGATGGAAGACTTTCGATAAGCCATGGTCCACTATCGATATATCGAGTTTTTCTTTATTATTTTATTTTTATTTATAGCAGCATTTAAGTTTATGCAGGTTCCGTCACGAAAATATGCTATCTTACCATTATTCTTCATCAGACTTATCTTTTCATCAGTTAAAACTTATTTTAGAAATTGTATTGGTTAAATGTACTTCATTTTTTAGTTTGTCCTTCAAATGTCCTTGGAGCTATTAACGATGAAAGCAAATAACTTTTCTAAATAATAATTTTACATCTACAGTAATTTAAAGTTAGTTTTTATGTTTCATATTTATAGAATTTACAATTATCATTTTATGTCGCATAAAATGTACATTAAATATTAAGGTATTTTCTGGCACTTAGGAACTGTGTTAAGGTAAAACTCTCGGGAAGTTTAGAAGGTTAACATTTTATATCAAGATATTTTTATTTTGTTCCCATAATGGCAACTTGATTCACCTATAAACATTTCAAATACAGGTTGTGGTTCCCGCTCTCCAGTACACCTCTAGTGGCCCATCCCTGACTTGATCCCCTATCGATACTTTTATTGCAGCCCTGCGCACCCGCACACACCCGCACACTCACACGTACGCTCTCAGCGATTTCCAGTTTTCGAGTTTTTGTTTAGTTTTAAACGATTCTGCGATTGCAGCTCGAATTGAACGTCGAGCGCAGCGCAACTCCCCGCAATAAATATAATATAATAGCGAGGTAGATAAGAACGGGGGATAGCGAAAAGCTTCAGCCTATGCGAAGCTCAGAAAACTGGACTTCAGAACTCGAACTTTGAGCAGCAGAGGCGCATCCACATCCACGAACGTCGCCCCAAAATTCATGAATGCCCAGCAGCGGATTTGGATTCGGCTTTGGAATCAATAGCGAAAGACAACAGCAAAACGGAGACCCCAAAAATACAAAAAAATCGGTTTGCAACACCGCGGATTGCACACACACAATAATAATTAGGTAATTTGTAAGCGACGTTCACCTGGGCAAGGTGAACTTGGCACCCGTCTGTATATGGTAGTCACAGTATATATCTTATCGATCGAGCACTCTGGCTAATCTCCCGATAATCTTGCAGGAATGGCGGCCATTGAGGAGCGATTCCAGGCCGCGGTCAACGTTATTAAGGGCCTGCCCAAAAATGGACCCTATCAACCTAGCACTAGCATGATGCTCAAATTCTATGGACTGTTTAAACAGGCCACAGAAGGAGGTTGTGACCAGAAGAAGCCCGGCTTTTGGGACATTGTGGGCAAAGCCAAGTGGGATGCGTGGAATGATAACAGGCACTTGAGCAAAGAGCAAGCCATGCAGCGATACGTGGAGAGCCTCCAGGAGATCATCGAAACGATGTCCTTTACGGAGAATGTGCAAAACTTTGTGGGCAGCCTCGATGGCCTGGGAAACATCAGCCTGGACGAACTGGAACTGGTATCACCCGGAATGAGGGAGCTGGCCGAATCGCATCCCAACTCGCCGTTCCATTCGCGTACCAACAGTCCACAGCACGGTTCCAGTTGCAATAGCGAGGCAGAAGTGGAGGTGGCTGCCACACCGCTTGTCGCCTCCACCGAAACGATAAAGGAGAACGGACACAGTTCGCCGCCACTAACCAATGGCTATGGGCCCAAATCCTCCAACTACGCACAACACGACGCACACAACTTTACGAGCAACAGCAGCGTGGCCATTGTGGATCCCTCCGACGATGAGTACGACGATCCCTACGATCTCAGCCACGAGCTGACCCAGGCGATTGCTCAGAACACCGATTTGTTGCGCCAAATTCAGGCGGCCATCTCACGGATGAACAGCGATGTGGGTGCAGTGCAGCAGCGGGTACGCAGCCTGGAGCAATCGCTCAACGAACTTCGCAGCGGCCAAAAAGGAACAGCGAAAGGAACAATGACCGCACAGTCACGTACACTGCCCGCCTGGTGGCCCTTCAGGAACATCTCCCCGCTCTGGTTCGCCGTCCTCATCTTGTGGCCCTTCTTGGTCAGACGCTTTGCGAGGATGCTGCAGAACGCTCCGCAGCGCAGGCACTGACGCAAAGGAGCTATAATCGCGAAGGGAGGAACATGTAGTTAAATTGTAAGTAAACAAATCAATTATAATTATAAACTCACCACTTAGGGAAATTCACTAGAACATCTACGATAGGATATTAATTGTAGTAAATTTAATGACTTATATATTCCGCCTACTACCTAAAAATGAAATTGACTGATTTTGACAATCTAGAATCACTGAAAAGTATGTACATTGTTTTTTATCACTCCCACTTTATATCAGTATCAGTTAATTGTTTTTTGTTTATACTCGAGAGGAATTCACGCAAAGATTCAAGACCAGTGGGAACCTGTTCGGCAGCGAAAGCTTTTACATCATATAATGTCAATATTTGCATTTCATTATCATATTCAAGGAAACGGTCACTAAGCAAACTCAAATTGTTGAATATCGTTGAGTATTTGAACAAGGGAAAGTACTTTCGGATCTTCTGTTTAAACCTTTTATCAGTAATTAGGATTTGTAATTATCAGTTAATAGCTGCCTACTGGATAGTTATAAAGTTGTGTTTAAAAGAACCACAAATTAATCCAACTTTAACCTTTTCATTTCAGTTACCTTTGGTTACGGGCACGAGCTTGATCTTAAGCTTTCCTCTATCCTGGAAAGCGCTTCAGTTACTGTACAGAGTTGGCCTTATTTATACTTTTCTAACCCCCGGGTTATCCAGTTGCAATATCTTTACTCCCTTTTTTATACGTCTCTATATGTATATTTATTTTGTACACACAAATCGCGACCTTTTTTGTCACATTCCCCCATCTGATTTAGTTTGTAAGTCGAATGTTTTTGGCACTTTTGTCCAGCAGGAGGCGAGTTTTGGCATTCTAAAAGCGCCGACCTGCTGAAATACGGTTGTAAGCGTATACTTTATTGTGCATTATTTGTTAATAATTATAATTTTTGTAATAAAGTCGTATATGAAAATAGACTTGTGCCTCTTTAGGGCTGTGGGGTAATACGTAGATAACTCTTTCCGGACGGGACTTCAATTGTTTCGATGCCCTGGGGAAAGAGCTTGGGAACATCTTCGGCTTTCACGGTGGGCAAAACCATGCACTTGCCGCCCTTTTGCCAATCTGCAGGCGTGGCCACACTCTTTGTTTGGGTCAATTGGAGTGAGTCGATCACTCGAAGGATTTCACTGAAATGGGACAAAAAGGAATGGGTATTAATCTTTTAACGAATTCCCAACTTAACATATTAGATCCCTATATTCATTATTAATAAATATTTATAATATAATCACCAACTTAACTATCAGATCCCTACATTCAGTTTTTAATAATTACATGAGTTTAGTAATGTTCCTATTTCGCATTCATCATTATAAGCACGTTATATAGTTTAAAGTACTTATAGATCATTAAATCATTTGCTCTTTTAACGTTTAAATGCACGATTTGTTAATAGGGAAGGTTACAAATTCAAAGATTGTGATGTAAAATGTAATATAACGCTAAACTATATTATTTTCTTAGATTGTCCTAGTACCCACTCGAAATTGCGACCTGTGGTGGCAGGATACAGGATGGATAGGCGTAGCTTCTTCTTGTCATCCACCACAAAAACAGCGCGACAGGTGAGGGGAATACCCTCGGCATTGATCTCGTCCTTGTCCAGCATGTTGAACTTGAGGGCCAGTTCCCGCTTGTCATCCGCAATGATGGGATAATCGAAGCTTGCAAGTTCTGTAAATGAAAACGCTATAAGAAAAGTTCCTAACCCAAAACCGAAATTGAACTCACTGCCAAAACTCTTGATGTCCTCGATCCATCCTTTGTGCGATTCCACAGTGTCACAGGACAAAGCTATTGGCTTGACCCCGCGTTTTAGGAATTCCGGAATTAGAGCCGCAACACGGGATAATTCCGTAGTGCAAACTGGCGTATAATCTGCCGGGTGGGAGAACAGAATAGCCCAGCTATCACCCTTCCAGTCGTAAAAGTCTATCTTTCCCACGCTCGTTTCAGCTGAGAAGTTGGGAAACTGATCGCCAATATTTAAGGCCTTTCCAGACATTTTGGAAGGTTTAAAAAAATAAAGATGGATAGGATACCGACGAGCTTTGGATAAATGCGAAACAAAAGTGCCGCAAAATTGAAATCAGCTGATTGCCTTAGAGTGGCCGTTTCTGTTTTTATCTGGGTGGCCAGGGCTGCAATTATTTAATGAGCCACATTTTCCTTATGAAATATTTTGAAAGTTTCAAAAAATACTTTTTCTATGTGTATATTTCAGATTTTAAAAACCTCGTTTTTCTTGAAAATTTAAAAACGGTTTGGCTCGCAGTTTTTTAAATTAATATTTCTGTGACCTTGATGACGAAAATACAGTTTTGCTACATGAAAACTTTATTATAATTTATATAAATATATATATTAAATTTCAAAATAAAAAAATTTATATTTATTAATTGTTGTAACATGGAAAATAAATTTGATTTAGTTTAATTTGTGAACTTTTCTTTAAGGCAGAAACCCAGTGAACCGAACCACTACCAGTGGTTTCCATCCCTGGTTATTCTATACACAACAGAAACTCAAAATCGCGCATAGTAAACACAAGTAAACTCCAAACAACTCCTAGTTATTTTGAGGATTCAACAGGACCAAACCATGGCGGACCTGAGCATCAGTGGACAGCAAGTGCTACCGCCTCCACCACCGCCACCTGCGATGCCGGAACCCTTCAGGATCACCACAAACGCCCCACACCAGATGAACGACACCAGTTTGACGCCCGGAAGAAGGAAGCTCCAGAAGTGGTTGGGTCGCGTCCTCCGGATCGTAATCACCGATGGACGTGTCCTGGTGGGATTCTTCAATTGCACGGATCGGGATGCCAACATTGTGCTGTCCATGTGTGCCGAGTACTTGGTGGAGGGCCAGGAGCCCAGGTTATTGGGGAATGTCATGGTTCCCGGAAAACATATAGTGTCCCTCAACATCGACGAACCGGATCCGCAGTCCAGTCTCCTCGTGCAATAGTTTTCAGTCTGTTCCTAGATCTTTTTATGTTAATACAGCTGTAGAAATACATATTTTCAAGAACCCAAAACTTTTAATAATAATAAGAAGACTATTTGTAATGGGGAAATAAGGGGTGTTCTTATAAAGTACATATATGTATGTTTCCTAAGTCAGCGTTATGAATATAACCAATGTACTAATGACTACAAAACAAATACTGGAAAATAGGTTCAAAGAGACGAATCCCCTTTACGACGCCCTTGCATCGATCAGCTGTTTGATAAGGCCCGCCGCGTTGCCAACCATCGTGCAGATGAATCAGCTGAGGTCGATTGTGTTCTCTTGGCTGTTTATTTGTTCGTAGAACTATCCCTGTTAATTAATAAGGTTAATCAAGCGATTCGTTGAGCAGAAGAGGATCCCTCCCATCCAAACGAATTGAGAGCAATCAGCGATGGACTTCACGACCTTCGTAAAGCCTTCAAATGGCGAGGGCGGCGGTGATGCGGATGCCCAAAATGGCCAGAAACTTCAGTTCTGGAAGCATGTGGAGTACATCGAGAACCATGGAAAGCAGGAGGACGACTACGAGTACTGCATGACCGAGTTCCTGCGCATGTCGGGCATCTATTGGGGCACCACGGCCCTGGACATAATGGGCCAGCTGGATAGGTTGGATCGCAAGTACATTGTTGAGTTTGTGAAGCGGTGTCAGTGCCCCACAACTGGAGGATTTGCCCCCTGCGAGGGACATGATGCCCACCTGCTGTACACCCTGTCGGCCATCCAGATCCTGTGCACCTACCAGGCGCTCGAGGAGATCGACTGCGAGGCGGTGGTGCGTTTCGTGGTGGGATTGCAGCAGCCCGATGGCAGTTTCTTTGGCGACAAGTGGGGCGAAGTGGACACCAGGTTTAGCTTCTGTGCCGTGGCCACCTTGACGCTCCTCGGCCGCATGGACCAGACCATCGACGTGGAGAAGGCGGTCAAGTTCGTGCTGTCCTGTGGCAACCAAACGGACGGGGGATTCGGTTCCAAGCCGGGCGCCGAGTCGCATGCGGGTGAGTCACCTCGCCACGGTCGAGCACTTTTTTTCAACCCCTCACTCAATATCATTTCAATTTATATTTTTCTATTGTTAATAATCTGTGCTCTATGAAAAGACACTGACAAAAAAATATACATACCATGGCTTTCAATAAGTTTTGAATTTAGCTAATTTTATAAATATTTATGTTCCTAACTAAATATAGTTTAACTTTTCCAAATTTCACTCATAAACATCTTAGCCTTTTTATTGATTTTACATTATTTATGGACCTTCTATAACGAAAGCCGCGAATTCTTTAGATCCGCATCTTCTAGTGCCGATAATTCAATAGGCTTTATAAAAATCTAAATATTTATAGAACTTTTTACATTTGCATTATAGATTTAAAAGCAGTTAATGACAAGATTATAATCGTATATCTTTCCCCAGGCCTTATTTACTGCTGCGTGGGCTTTTTCTCGCTAACCCACCGCCTTCACCTGCTCGACGTGGACAAGCTGGGCTGGTGGTTGTGCGAGCGTCAGTTGCCATCTGGTGGGCTGAACGGACGCCCCGAGAAGCTGCCGGATGTGTGCTACTCGTGGTGGGTGCTCGCCTCCCTCACCATCATGGGTCGTCTGCACTGGATCAGCTCCGAGAAGCTGCAGCAGTTCATTCTGTCCTGCCAGGATGCTGAGACGGGCGGTTTCTCTGATCGCACAGGCAATATGCCCGATATATTCCACACTCTCTTCGGCATCGGCGGACTCTCGCTGTTGGGACATTCCGGCCTGAAGGCCATCAATCCAACGCTCTGCATGCCCCAGTACATCATCGATCGGTTGGGAATCAAACCACAACGATTAGCAAGGCCATGAGGAGGGGTGATTGTGATTCTAGAACAGCAGTTGTAGTCAATGTTAAGCGCCTAATCAGAACAGACCTCTACCGTATTCCCCAGCTAGCCGCTCTTAGTTTTATTTGTACAAAAAAAGACCAAAATTCCACCGCAGGAATACTCGATCCCCTTTTCTCTTCAACTTCGTTGTGCATTTACACAGGGTATATCCCCTCGATAAGCTATTATTAATATATTTTGTATAACGAATTGACATCAGCAATAAATAAATATTTTATTTTATTACAGCAAGAAATCCACTCTCATAAATAAAACCAAATAATAATTAAGATCAGTTAACATTTGATTTATTTGCAAAAATAATTAAACTAACATTTGCATATGTGAAAAACAAATTGAAATGTTTGCGCTAATAGTCTAGTCTATACATATTAGGTAAATACATATCAATGTGTAAATTTATGTACATGAGGATACCAGTGTAAGGACTAAATAGTTAAGAACTTGGCAAAAAAAATTGCATTACAAAAATGACGAATCACACAAAATTGGAATTACAAACTAAAAGCTAAGTGTAGTCACCGTGTGTTGTGGGTCAGCTTCAATTAGAGACAATTGAAATGAATTTTACAGAGCACAAAACAAATATTAATCGACCACAATAGGCAATGTTTGAGTGTTTTTGGGGTTGGTGTGTTGTGAGTGTGGTGTGTATTGTGATTGTAGTATACTCGATGCACGTCTAAGGCACTCTATAAACAATTTCAGCTAACAATCGTTTTAAAATGTTTACTTTTTTTCTGTTTTGTCTATCAACTACGGACTAATGGAGGAGCATTAGGAATTACTGAATTTTTCATCGCTAGTCAGAACATTATATGCACAGCCTAGGGCCCATGAGATTTCGTGGCCATCTATCTTCTTGTAAAGCTGCAAATATATTTTAAGTTAGTTGATAGTGAAGGAAAGATCTAAGTTTTAAGACTCACCTTAATTTTCTTGCCATCGTTGAGGCCAAATCCTTCGCGCAGCAGCGTGGAGATAAAGGTGAGGTCGAAGCACATGAAGGGCTGCTCATCGTTGGGGATGGCGCAGATTTCCTGGGCTTTCTTGCGATAGGCTTCCACGGTGGTCTCGCCGCCAGCCAGCGGATCCACCAGACCCGATTCGATGGCACGTTCAAAGTAGTAGCTAAAAGCAGCCACTGCATGTTGCTTCAGAGTAAATGGCTTGGGCTTGACCAGCGGCATAACCTTGCTCTTGACCAGATCCAGGCAGGCATCGAAGTCCACAATGGGCTGCTCGGCACTGGACTTGGGGTTCTCCTTACCGCTGACCTTGTACTGCACATTCCCATATGTCCACGTACGATTGGCGATAATGGGATTCACACAGACGCTCTCCAGCACTGAATCCTCCTTCTTGTAGCCATGCGTAAAGACAGCATGCCGGGCGGCCATCAAACCCAGACCCAGATAACTGTGCGTGAACACATTGATCTTCTTGCTGGACGTGACCACCTCGTGCATGTACTTATCGTACACGGGCACCTGTTCGGGATCGGTTGGCGAGAAGGTGACCTGCGTGCTGCCGCCACCCAAATCCAAGGCAGCTGCCTGATTTGTCTTGGACAGCCGGCCCAGCAGGAAGTTGACGGTGAACCAACTAAAGATTCCCTCGTCCGTGCCATCCATGATTTCCACGGCATCCATATCCACACTGAACTCGGACTTGGCAAAGAGATCTCGGACGGCATTTAGGATATTTTCCGCCTTGCTGGCAGGCAGTAGCCTCAGCCCAGCTGTGGCCTTCAGCACCAAAGGCGTGGAGGACCAGTGCTCCTTGGGTATGAAGGCACGCGCCTCATCCAGCAGCAGTTTGATGGAGTGGGCACCCTCGGCGGGATTGTCCGCAAAGGAGCTCAAACCAGGCTTGCGCTCCTTGAACAGCTCCTCGTACAGCACCAGTTTGTTGTCGATGAAGCTGCGATTGAACTTGTAGGCCAACACGCGACTGCCCGTGGATCCCGCATCAATGATGGCCGCATACTGCACCTTGCTGTAGCCAAACTGGGAGGCCAGACGGGCCAAATAGGGACTGGCATTCTCGGAGACAAAGCCTGCAGCATCATCATCGGCATTGGGTGTTTTGGTGATGGGTTTTTTAGTGACAACAGGGCGAACAGGAGTCGGAAAATGAGGTTCCACATTAGCATAGCGAACGGTAACAGTGGGGAAATCAGAGGGTTTGGTTAATACAACTTTAGGAATTGGTTCGTTCACATAATACAAATGGTACACACCGAAAACAAAGAGCAGCAGGATGACGGAGATGACCAGGCACAGGAAGGAGATCTTGAGACCGCTGGGACCGCGATTCGCACCACTGCTGGCATTTGGAGAACCACTGCTTTTCCGCCGCGGCGGTTTCTCATCCGTGGCCAGCTGGAAAATATACAAAATATGTTTAAGTTTCGGTGCTTAAGTGGGTTATTTAATAGATTGGTCTAGTTTAGTCTGTTCGTCTACCAGCTTATATTCGTATTTCATGGCTCGTTCCGTTGCCTTTTGGTGCCGCAACATTTATGCATAGCCGGTTTCTTTATTGAAACACATTTCAGTTGTTTGCTCTTCAAATATTAACACGCTGGCTGTTTGCTATCTCTTGAAATGTCAATGATTATGTTTTCATTTTATCTTTTTTCAGTCAACGGGCTTTTTTCGTTCACATGTGCCAGGGCTGCAGAGCTAAGCTCATCGATAACGTTGGCCAGGGCTGCAGAGCATCTTTTTTTGGCAACGGTATTGCGGGGCTTTTGACCGAAAAAACGGTTACTTTTAAAAAAATTATACCTCAAGGGTTGTTTCTTGAACTTTTAAACCCTACTTTTCTTTATGTTTTACTTTGATGTTTCCTTTGATGTTTTTGTGACCTTTCTGTTTTAATTTATTTATTGTTAGATAGCTCCAGGTCAAGGGTTTTTAAATACAATAATATTACAATAATTTAATAAACAAACGAATATTTTTACTAAGCTAAATATTTATCTAAAATATTATACATATCCACAACCAAATATATTTTAATTTTAGCTATTTGGGTTTTTTTTGCTAGTGCTTAAAGCTTCAAGATTGTTTTGCTACCAATCGTTAACAATCTACACCAATATTACGTTAGAAACCGGTTAATAACCATACAAATAAAACAAAATCAAAATAACAATTTGGTGTAATAATAAAATAATAAACTCTGCACTGCTAGAAATATAAGTCTTTATCCTAATCCTAATTATTAATGAATTTGTAAAAGTAATTTGAAAACGAATGATATAGAAGACCCCTAAATTAACAAAACCCCTAACCGGGCCCAGAAAACCGGGCCTTCTAAAAGTTCAAAGTCATGCTTAATTACATTTTTTAGCTCTGAAAGCAGCACAGCAGTGTCCATTTGTCTAGAATAAAAATGACGACCTATCACGTAACCCTCTGGCGATATGACAATGATAAGACGCAATCATGTCTGGGCACCACTAGCAACCATCATAAGTGGGCCACTAAAGCGATATTTGGGCTAGATTAAATATTAAAGTTGGCATAGGAGCTGCTACAAACAAAACCTGATGAAATTCCCATTGTTTAAACAAATGTTTCGCTATAGGTAAGTGGCTGACGTAAAAATAGCTACAAGGCAAAAAAAAAAGTCAAGCAAAGTGAGCAAAGTATATTTGGTTAGGCAGTAATGGAGTTGACAGGGCGAACATTTACCGAAGTACATCCATTAGTATATTAAAAATAAAAGTTAGAAAGAGTAAAATGCCAGCATTCATGAAACATTCAGGGTGTGAACTTATCGCATATGCTGCGAAGCGCACGCTACTGTAATCAATAAATCAATTGATAAGTGGGGGACGTGGGCGACTTTTGTGCCGATCAACAATGAGTAAGAATGAAATGCTTTTCAGAGCTTATCAAAAATGCATATTCATGTGGGGGAAGGCCTTAATCGGGGCTGTAAGATAGCAGCTGAATTGATAAATGTATTTCAACGCCTAGGAATATCTAGCGTCAGCTGGAAAATGCTTATTTCTAGCTACAAATATTTCATATTAAGTATAAGAACTCAATATTAAAAGGTTTCTGTTTACAAAAACACGCCCTCAAAAAATTTGTTTTTGAAAAAATCAATCCTGATAACAACGAATAACCATAAATTACTACGAAAGCCCAGGTTTTTCTTGCCATACTCTTTCAAAATATGACCAAATGGGTAGTAATATATGGATAACAACGAATAACAATAAACTACTACGAAAAAACGGGTTTTACTTGCCATAATCACTCAAAATATGACCAAATGGGTGGTTATATATGGATAGCTAATCTATATTTATGCGGGTAGTACTGTATCCTACAAATTCCAACATATTGAGTGAAAAAAGCAGAAATAATAACAAAAATGTGACGGATTTCCCTTTATCTATCCGTTATCAGTGGGCCGAATGCCAAAGTATTTAGTACAAAGTACCCAGTACACACAAGGGTTAAGGCCACGTTAGCAAACTTGCACTCTAGCACTCACTTGCAAGTTGTTCCGGTTTTGTCCCATCCTGTTCTCCACCCACGTACGATGCACCTATAGATCAAACGATCCAATCGCCCCCAAAATCGGCGTGTGTATCTGTTATCTGTGATCTGTGGGATTCCGTTTCGAGAAAGCAATTGAAAAAGTTGTCTAGCGAGGTTCAGAAACCGTTGCCAACTTTCCTATTTTTTTAGCGGCCTCTTTGATGACCTTGCAAGTGAGAAACTAGCAATGCCTGGCCACCCTAAAACAAATAAATACATATATAGATATGTATTTCAAAATAAACCGGCCGGTTTTAAACAAATCCAAAACTAACACTTTATACCAGTCACACGGCATCATTATGTTTTTTCCTAATCACATAAAATTTACATAATATACATAGTGGTAAAACCTGTTCCCCCATCTAAATTTAAATATCTTGTAAAACACAATTTCAAATAAAAATTGGCACAATCGAATAGAACTTGAAACAATTATTCTGCGAGTCATTTGATTTTTACTTCCGCGTCAAAAGAGCAACAATTTTAGGAATCCCTGTGTGTGTGATCTTAGCATCAGTGTGTGTGTGTGTATGAGAGAGCGCCATGAAATTGGCATAAAATGTGTGCTTTGATTACCCTTTTAACCTTTTGCCTTACTTTTCTCTTTCGCACATCGGTGTTCGTCATGTTGTTGTTGCTGTTGTTGCTGTCGTTAGTTTGTTGCTAATTATGTAAATACGTTGTTTATTCCCGACTATTTCTGCGATCGCCGAGCGGAACGCACTAATGTCGATCTAATCGAAATGGCCGCGCCTTCGCCACCGAAAAAAACAAACTTTTATTTAGCACAACGCGCGGAAAGCGAATGGCGTCTCAGAATAAACTAAACACAATTATTTACCACCCACCTGCTCATATATATGCTGCAGCCCTGTCAGCTGTTCGCCCCAGCACGCGTTATCAGCGAAGTGCGGTCACACTGGGGAGGGGTTTCAGGGCTGCGAAATGAATGATAAGATATGTTAGGGTTAATAGGAAATAACTGTTTAAATTGGTGAAATTATCTTAAAAACCTTAAACTTAAGGATTTTATTATTTATAAATAGTAATACTATTTCTTTGCCCATGAAATATAATATATCTTTTTTAAATTTACTTTTTAAAATTTTAAAATAGTTAAATTCATAGTGTCCCTCTTGGTAACTCACATTTATCACATTAAATTAGAAACAAAGAGAAAAACCAAGCAAATTCTTATTATTCATAATTAATTTTCCAATAACTTCATAACTTCACTGATTTCTTATCTCAAAATATATGCATTGACAGTTTAACGCTAGTTAGTGAATCATTAACAATGATAAAATATAAACACGCATTGGATTTGTTAAGATTAGGATAAGATAGCTTCTGAATACATTAGTGATTCTAGACACTATTTTTTCAAATGCTCTTCATTTGCTTCTGAAATTCAACGTTTTGTTGGTTATTATGTTATTATTTATTAATCACAATGACAATAATCTACTAACAAATGTATCGAAAGTATATATAAATAAATGTAATATTAACAAAAACAAAAATCATTTTTAAACAACTATATACTAGCGTTAAATATATTATAGCATCAATTATAAATAATTAAATATTATGAATATCTTATATCTGATGGACACTATAGTGAAGATATAAGGGCTAACACTTTTTTTTACAAAGGTATTGCTTGATCTAGTGGTGAGCAATAGTGGAACAGTAGAATCTTTGCAATATTTTGGGTATAGTTCAGTATATTTCGTGTTTTGTTCAGGTATTAATATTGTTGTAAATAAGCATACGGTTATCATTAGATTTTATCAGATATATTACTTATATGTAGAACAATACTAGTGTTGGGAAGCGATCCTAACCAATATATAAAATACTTATCAGATTGTTGATGGCTCAAGTAGTGACTGAGGGGCATTAACTATTTACTAACCACACCCATTAACAAGATAATACCAGGTGAAAATCCCGAATTATCAGACATTTGACAGCGCCGATACTGCCCAACACTGGACCTATCGCCGCACAGCTGATCTCCCGCCAATCAGCTGGCCGATAGTTGCCCATCGATAGCCCTGCCATCGATAACGATATGTGTATTTTCCTGCTCTCTCTGCACCAACAAAACACGCAACTAAATTTCGTTTTAAAACCCCCAACTAAAAACAATGTTAACGAAACGGAACCAATTAAGTGATTAAGTGGCTAAACGCGGCGGCGCCGAAAGCGAGCGCAGTGCATTTTTCCGGATGAAATCGCGTTTTCGGGGAAACTTACACAAACATTTTTTTTCGTAAGCGCTCTCATGTTGTCTCTTTCGCACAGCAGAATTACTAGTTGCTGTGTGTGTGCGTGCGTGCGTTTGTGTGTGCCGTATGCCGTGTGTGTGCGTGCGTGTTTGCCTGTGTGAGTGACTTTGACTGCAGTTCGCGTACGTTTTTTTATTAATACCACACAAAACACAAAACAACAACAACAAACTGAAATGGAAACTAAACATATTTAATGCGAGGAGAGCAGAAATCGGCAAACAACAACGGCAACGGCAAGGCTTTATCACCTACTCACCACCACCACCAGCACCACCACTACGCCAGCAGCAACAACAACAACAAATTACTACAGCGTGCATGTGTGATGAACGTATTTGTGTTAAATAATGTTTAAACATTTCTGATTTCGCACACAAAACAATTTTGAGTTGTAGTCACCGACCAGCAGAGAGAAACAATTGAAGCAAACGAAGAAGAGGTAAGTAGGTGCAAATAAAAGAGAGCCGCAAAATACAATTGTTATAAACAAAATGTGTCAAAAGTTCGTCATGTCGCGCGCTCTCTCTCCCTCTCTCGCCCGCTCGCTCATTTTTCGCTCTCTCCCTCTCTCTCTCCCGCCACGCCGAAAAGAAATTAATTTTGATATTTTTCCCTGCTTTTCATTTTTGTTGTTCTCTCTCGCTCTCGCAAACTTTTAATTTTAATTTGCTATGCGCAGCGAATTCGCGCGCAAAGGCAGCAAAAAAAGAGGCAAAGCAAAGGCAGCCGCAACAACAACAACAATAAAGGCAAAGTAATAAACGTCAAAATGCCAGACGGACAATGCCGCCACTCTCTCTCTCGCGCGCGCTCTTTCTGCCGCTGTGTGCGTGTGCATGTGTGTGTGTGTGTGTGTGTTTGGGTTTGCTAGCTTTTTGTTTTTATCTATTATTTAGGTGTTTGCCTAAAAAAGAATCACTAAAACAGGCAAAAATTCGCAATACCTATTCATTTGTCAATCGGAGTTCTGGAGAAAAAAGGGTGAAAGGCCAGAAAAACCCCAAAAAGAGAATGCGAATGCTGTAGGAAAGGGGAGAGAGAAAAGAAAGAGAGAGCGGGTCACACACTCACACACCTCAAGCGATTCTGATAAGAACAATTGTTAATTGTTTGAAAGCCGACATTCCAATAGTCCATTCGCGCAGCCATTGGAAAAAGTATAATCGAAAATTGGAAACACTTTTGTGAGATTCTTTGCCAACTGATGAAATAAAGCCGCCTTATGTCGTCAGTATAATCCAATAAATTTAGGTTTTCTCTTCGTTCTGAGGAATACTAATCAAATAGCAAAAAGCCATGATAAGAAATCTGCTTAAGTCAATGCTAAAATAATTCACTTTGATTTCGGAGTAAGAAAAAGAAACAAGACTTTTTGTTAATTCAAGTTTCAAATAGATACATTTGGGCTTCGACTTTAAGCAACGAATAAGAAAAATGACTTTGATCACGTCCGCAATATTGGTACTATTTCCCATTTTAGGTAGAGGTTGAACCTTCGCTTCAAAGAATTGAAAAACACCGAAGAAAGTCAATACAACAACACATGTTAATAGTGTTCTCTAAATAACTTGAATAAATCCGTAATTTCAGCTTGAGATGCTTTTTATTTTGGAAAAATCTTACATATTGATAGAAAATTGTAAAAAAAAAGAACGCTAAGAATAATTGAATAAAAAAGGAGGAGAAACTACGAAATGTTGTAAATTTTTGTTTCAAAAAGATACATTTGAGCTTCGATTTTGAACATTGAATTATAAATGTTTTTATGATCACCTTAGCAAATTTGTTACTATTACCCATTTCCCGTAGTAATTGAATCTTTTTGAAAAGTCGCTTTAAAGAAAAGAGAACACAGAACTATGTGAAAAATCCCCGGAGAAAGTCAATGCAATACGGTATTACCTTAAGTAAATCAGTAAGTTGGGCTCTTTATGATGTACTGGCAGTACACAATAAGGCTTTCGAGTAGTTTGTAAATAAGTAATAGAAGTTGGGAGAACTTAAGGCCAAGTAAAGTGTTGATAAAATGACGAACTATTAATTTTGGAAATTCATTCCCCTATTTTTTCTGATTGCTGTGTAAACACATTAACCAGTTTGATAAACAACTTAGGCATTTGTTCATGAAAACCTCATGTAATTTTCGATTTAATTATAGTAATTAGCTGTCGTCAGTTGGTAGGTCAAACGGGGTCATTGCTCGCGATCATATCTTTGTACTGTATGCTTGGGAAAGGTGTTTTTAACAAGTTATATTTAAAAGTTTATGGACGATAAGTAACAAATTTTTCAAAATATAAAAATAATGCATCCTCTTTTTGATTACCAACTTCACAGACTCGTTTTTTGGTTATTTTGTTTCTGTTGTAGATATGAAATGAAATGACGACGTCATTAAAATTGATTCATGAAGTCAAATTACAAAACAAAACCGAACAAAAGGCAATTGCCAATAAGAAGAAGAAAATGCCGAGAGCGTATTTTCTTTTGTTGTTCGCACGGTATCGAATTGGAATTCCAATGAATCCATCTCTCTTCTAGCCGCTCTCAGTGGAAACTTAAAACTTCCGTTAACTTATCGATACAGTTTGATTACAAAGTTAATAAGAAAATCAAAGATGATCTTTGGCACTGTTAAATTTTATTAGCCTAAATGCAAACTGTTACTAGCAGTGGCAACAGAAAGAAGTTTCAGAGAGTTGTTCAATAAAAATTAAGTAATTATTGCCAAATTATTAAACAACTAATAATAATACGTCATAAACAAATATGTATGAACAACAATGTTGCCACACATTTGTTCTTTAGTTTCGCCACAATGTTGCGAGCAACATTTCTCAAACACGTTTGACATCTCTCTTGCAACATGTTCGATACCTCTCTGGCAACTGCAACTGCCCGCTTCCAATAATAACGGTAAAGCTATAGTACTTTTTGGATTTCGCAGCCGGTCGAACGCAAAAATCGGCGCGCCGTCGTCGCGACGTGTAAAAAATGTAAAGCGAAAATAGCCAAAGAAATTTGTAAAAAAAAAAGGAAATAGAAAAATTCAAACCGCGCCGCCCAACCGTAAATCTCCAATCAAATTCCAATAAAAGTGCTTGCCATCTAATATTATTCATTTATAAAAAGTGTGTGCGAGTGTGTGTGTGTGTGCAATCAATGTTTTTTCTGTGAGCAAAGTTCAAAGGCAAAGGCAAAAAGAAAAGGCAATAGCAAAGGCAAAAGTAAAAGCAAAATCAAATCTTAATTCAAAGCAAATGTAATCTTAATTTCGAAAACGTAAGTTTATAAAAGTGAGTGTGTGTACGAGTGTAAATTAAAGTATGAAAATCTGGCACATGTACATGTGCGCCACCCTCCCCTTTCCGCCCCACCCCCCGCTCGCTCTGTCTCGTTCGCTCGCTAGCAAATTTCCAATGCAAATCAAATGGAAATCAACAGATCAAATACAAATACAACAACAAATTCGCTTTCGCGTACAAAAAAAAAAGCAACAAAAACAAGAAACATCTCGAAAACGGAACCAAAGAGACTTGCAAAGAAGGAGAGCGCAAAAAAAGTGAAATGCGCATTTTTTATTGTCAATTTTTTCAAACGGCACTTTTTTGACCTGGACCGTGTGATTTTCTTGCTCTCGTGCTCTTGCGCTGTTTTTTTTCTCGCACGATCGCACGCTCACTCTCGCGCTCGCGCTCGCTCTCTTCGCTAACGGAACTGAACGGCCGTCTTGTGCTTCTTTTTCTTCTTCTTCATCATTTCGTTGTTGTTGTTGTTAGGCAAAAGCAATGCCAAAAAGGAAAGGAAAAATTTTTTTTTTCGGTGCGTTGCCCTTTTGGTTTTGCTCTTCCAATAACAACAACTAAATGAATGAATGGTGAGGCAGAACAACAAAGCAGATACAGATACATTGCGATAATTTTTCTCGCTCATCTGGCGTCTTTATGACATTATGTACGCTACATTTTTGATTTTATATTTAACACCTGCTGTTCTTCCATCAACATTTATATGTGCATATGTAATCAGTGCATCAGTATGTGTGGTTAGTGTGTGCGCTCGCTGCAATTGCGATCAACAGCTGTTGCTGGGAGAGCAAAGCAAAGAGAGAGAGAGAGGGAGAGAGAGCAAGCATGTGTGTTTGTGTGTCCTTGCGTGTGGTTTTCTTTTGTGGACATTTTGTTGTTGCAGCTGGAAGATTGTTTTCCCAAAAAGGGGGGTAGTGGAAGTTTCCAATCTGTAATCGAAAAAAATCAGTGACGAACTTTTTGACACATTTAAGAAAAAAACCTCCTTAGAATAAAATATAACTAACTTTCAGACCTTAACTCTCATATTTCCAGCCAACACTTATTATTAAAATCGCCTCAAATACAAGCAATAATAAATAATATATAAAAAAAAACCAACCCGAAAGTAAAAAGTTCAACATTTAGTAAAGGAAAACAAATTATTAAAAATCGTAGCCATTAGCTTTAACAAAACGCGTAAAAATTTTGAACAGAACTTAGCAAGCCTATAAAAAGTACGCCTTCCAATAGTTATTATATATACACGCATTATATACATATGCATATACATAGCCATAGCACTTACAACATACATACATATATATACAACAACGGTCAAAGGGAATTAAACAACAAAAAACTAAAAACAAAAAAAAAATCACAAACGGGAAACGAAAGAACGATCGAGAATCGTGGAAAAAGTGCGTTATATTCCAACGGTGCAATCAAATCTTAATGTAGCCAAGCGATATTACGGCTACACACTAACATAAATACCATAAAAATATATATATATTCTTACATCCATCAGATAAATCAACAATTTTTACAATCCGCAAAGTTAAGCAGCTTCAAAGTCAACCAACGCAATTACTTTAAGAGAATTACTTTATCGGTAAATAGAAATGCATATACATATATATATTGGAGGATAAACGAATATTGAAGGCAAAATTTAAAATAAATCAAGTGCAAATTACAACAAATTATTCTAAATATTAATTCAAATGAGAATTATAAGAAATTTCCAATATTAAAATCAAATTATCCTATTATTCATAGGCCTAAGTAATGAATAACAAATTTTATATATGCGCCCCAAGTGCTTAATAAACAAAAAAAAAAAAACAAAAAACAGCAACAACAACACCAGACAAGAAAACTATGTAAAACAACAACAACCTCAACAAACAGCGAATCGAGCAATATTATCAATAATATAAATCAGTAAATTGTTAAATGTTAAAATTCAAATTTAAACAACGCTAGCAACCTGCCAATAGCAACAAAATATAATACAAAAAAAAAGTAAAACTAATGCGGAACCCAAGGAAGCCGCAACAAGAAAAGTCAACTGAAAACCCCCAAGGAGTCGGATACCATCATCAAGTGGGGCTGGAAACAGGATACGCAGTTTTCCCTGCAACGAAGTCCAGAGGCCTTGGATTAACTCAACGCCCATTTAGGGCGGAGGGATCCCCTTCTATGAGTCAACCAATTGCAGTAATTGCAGCATTAGCAACGATTCGGATCCCCATATGGATATTCATATGAAAAAACTAACTAAGCCACGGTAAGTCGATACTTTTTGTATTACTATTATGATACTTGGGGAATATTAAAGGAAATATCAGAACGTAGTTTTCTAAAGACCCTTTTTAAGATGTGCTGTCAATTAGATCAGGGGATCTGTTGAATCTTTAAATATTCTTGACGATTCAAAGTTCAGAACGTAGTTGTCTAATGACTGTCTTAAGATATGATGTATTGACTCTAATCCTTCAACATTTTTGCCGGTTCTTGATAAAAATTCGGTTATAAGGGCATAAGAAAAGGGGGTAAGGTAGTGGATAATATAGGTTTTCTGCTTATAACTGAGGACCCAGATCTTTAAGGTAAACCCAATAAGTTTAGGGCCCTATAAATTGTACTTGGACCAAGTTTAATCTCTGAACATTTCGTTATTGTCCGTCACTGACAATAAACCAAATGCTACGCACACGACATCAAATCGGATCTCCTAAAACTTTTCTCATTTCTGCGACCGACCCCTTTTCTTTCCGGGTTCTAGTTCTGGTTCTGTGCTTCTTTTACTCATTTTCTCATTTTTTATTGTCAATGAGCTGCGGCGGCCACTAAAATGTATAATTGAAAATTGTACGCCCACATTTACTGCGCACACACACAGGCTGACGGACAAACAAACAAACTAACAAACAAACAAGCACAGCCACATCCATATAATAGATACGTATACGTATAAAGAGCAGTCCCACCAAAAAAAAAAAAAGAAAAAGTAGAAGAAAAAACGGTCCCCAGTTGCTTTTAGCGCCATGCAATAAACAGAGCGAGAGAGCGTTGCCAAGTTTTGCGGGTTTTCTTGGCCTGCTCTTTTCAGCCAACAGACGGTTGGCTGAGAATCCACCTTCTCCACCACCCCCTCTTTCTCCTTTCCCCATTTCGCTGTCGTCTGTTGTCCCACCTTGAGGAAAAGTAGAAAAATCTAAGTTCTTTCATGCCTGCCTCTTTGAAAGTGTAAAGGTATGTTGAAATCTTGGTGCTCAATCTGAAAAATTACTGTCTTTCTGTGATAAATATAAGAAAATTGCATATTTACATTATACAATATATTTTTAAAAGCATCGAAACAACATAACCTAGGTTTTGCATTACTATTTATCACTCTAACAAACTGATTACAGGATCAGATACAAATGTATCTTATAAGAAAAGGTCATTCTAACATTATTTAATAAATTAGTAAAAGCATCCAATCAATATAACCCAGCTTTTGCATTACTATGTATCACTCTAACGAACTGATTACATGATCAGATACAAATGTATCTTATACATTATTTAATAAATTAGTAAAAGCATCCAATCAATATAACCTAGCTTTAGCATTACTATGTATCACTCTAACGAACTGATTACATGATCAGATACAAATGTATCTTTTAAGTAGTAATGTATTCTTATAAGTATTTTTAGTTATTCGAACTAACCCTAATTGTAAATATACAGAACTCATTACATTATCAGAAATAAATGCATCTTATAGGTAGCTTGACTTCTAATAAGCTATTCTTTTTAATAAGTATTTTGAAATTATTTAAACGATCCCTAATTTGTTAATAGACAGAACCCAGCACATTATCAGATACAAATAGAATCTTCCTTCTAGTAATTATTAAAAATATCCTAAAAGATATCCTATCTTACGCATCCCTATTTATAACTTTACAGAACTGAGGATAGCGTATCCCATAGTCGGAAAATTCTTTAAAAACGCTCTTTCTAGCCATATCCTCTCTCTTCTCTCCGTGTTTCGGTTTTTGTTGTACATTTTGCCGGCGTCGCCACGCACTGTTTCCCCATGGCTAAACCATTGTGCACTTTTCGCTGCAATTTGTCGAAAACTTGGTATTTTTTTTCTCATTCGAAAGTTTAACCATAACAGATTTCTTTAGACCACTTCCTCCAGGGCGGAAAGGGGTTTTAAGTTGGGCTTTAGTGGTCCCTAAAACTCTTGAGCCCTCATTTGATGCCCGAAAATTGCCAGGCGGAAAACTTCAATGTAAAATGTAATAGAGTGCGTTTATGGAACATTTTATTTTGCAGTTTTGATATAATCAACGAGGGATCTTCGCTTAACCAAATAAAAATGTATTTATCCAACGAAATATCTAAGATATCTCTTTATTTTGTTTAGTTGGTATAAAAAGGTGTATGCTCTATAATTTCCAATTTATCGCTTGAGTTCTTGGTCATTTTATGACTTTTGTCTGCCCCGTACATTAGTTTGAATTTTAGTTGGGACGGGTTCGGGTATGAGAACTCAAAAACAACAAGCGCCCCGAACGTGTGCGACACTCTCAACAAACTGATAAAATTTTAATTTCTCCAAAATTGAAATTTTAATGTGTGTCTAGAGCGCGGTTTACCCCAGTTCAGCCCCAGCCCCTTCCGACTGCACTTTGTGTCCTTCCTACCGGGTTTTTCCCCACCTTGCTGGGAAAATGTGCTACACCCTATACCCTATGTATATGTGGCACTCAGCCATATACGCGCACAAGTTTTGGGTTTTTGTGGGTTTCCCCCCACCCAACAAAACCCAGCCAACCCACCACCCACCACCCACTTGGCTGTCCGCATTCTATTGCATTTCGGTCGCCCCTCTTTTTGGCCGACTTTCTATCATTCGCTGCCTTTGGCATTGGCCAAAAAGCGAATTTCCTCCGCTGCGTCCATATTATAGAGTTGAATTATTAAAATTTGTCTGGTTGTGTGTGCCAGTTATGAATAGCTAAGTGGTTGCCAAGGAGTGGGAATAAGTCTATATATGTATTAAATGGTCTGCCTAAGAAAAGCCCACTTATACGGCTTGGTTGATGGGTCTGTGTCCCAGGGAACTCGCCTTTTGCATGATTTAAAGGTGATATAAATCGAATTATTGAGTTGTCTTTCCATTAACTGATTTACAACCAAGTCGCTGGTGTCTATATTCTTATTTAACTAATCTATTATAATAGAAATGGGTATTTTAATGGTTGATGGTTGGGTTAAATGATTCATATTATTGTGTTGTCATTGTTTTAATTGATTAACAAGCAAGTCTCTTGTATCAACATTCCTATTTAAGTAATCCAATGTATTTTATTGATTATACTTGGGGTATACATCAAACTGATGATTCAAATGACCCCTCAAAAAGCCTGAAAAATTATCCCTTTTTGGCCATGATGCCAACTGTGAGACCCATCAGCCATGGGATGCCCTGCCCTTTCACCTCCATCATTGGCCCATTTAAACTATTGACCCACACACCTAATTGATATGCTACACGTATACTCGGCAATCAAAGTGCGGTATGTATGTGTGAGGAGAGATGAGATGGTGAAAGTGTGAGAGATAGCAGAAGGCAGAAGAAATCTCTCTGGGGATTTTATTTTTTATGTCGAAATTATACATTTTATTATGTCATTTTAATGCTACAAAGGCACCGAACGTAAAAGTTGAAGGGAAAGAGCGAGGAGCGACAAAGGAGCAACAACATGCAAACTAAACAGTCATCCAACATTGCCCCCTGTATTCCCACTTTTCCCCATCTTATGTCAGACCATAAATCAGCAACAGTTAGGACCCAGAACGACCAGGTTCTGGGTAGGAACAGAAACAGGAAGGAAGTGCAGGGTAGTCCTGTTTTCATTTTGTATGCAAAAGTGAGCAAGGTGGAAAATAGAAGTGGATGCCCGAAGAAAGAAAAGCAAACCTACACTGTAGCCAGAAAAAATGTAGAAATTGTTTACATCAAAATGGTTTATAAAGGTTCTTTAAGTATAAATTATTAAAATTTAGAAATTGTAAGTCATTCAAGGATCTGTTTTACCATGAAATCATTAAATGTTTATGGTAAATACAATATTTTAATCAATAGATTCCAGATTCCATTAAGAAGATAAAGATTGAAGATTGAAGATTGAAGATTGAAGAATGAAGAATGAAGAATGAATAAAGAAGAATGAAGAATTAAGAATGAAGAATGAAGAATGAAGAATGAAGAATGAAGAATGAAGAATGAAGAATGAAGAATGAAGAATGAAGAATGAAGAATGAAGAATGAAGAATGAAGAATGAAGAATGAAGAATGAAGAATGAAGAATGAAGAATGAAGAATGAAGAATGAAGAATGAAGAATGAAGAATGAAGAATGAAGAATGAAGAATGAAGAATGATGAACTATGAATGTAGAATGAAGAATGAAGAATGAAGAATGAAGATTGAAGATTGAAGATTGAAGATTGAAGATTGAAGATTGAAGATTGAAGATTGAAGATTAAAGATTGAAGATTGAAGATTGAAGATTGAAGATTGAAGATTGAAGATTGAAGATTGAAGATTGAAGATTGACGATTGACGATTGAAGATTGAAGATTGAAGATTGAAGAATAAATAAAAAATTGTAATTAACCAATCTCTTTTTAAGTTATTTAACATTTTGATATACAATTATACCCCTTTTCTTTGTGTAAAATTCGGTGTTAAAAAGTTAAAGGGTGAGCATTTTGGGGCAATTTCCTTCTAAAGGACTTAAAGGTACATGTAATTTGTATACCTTATAAAATTCAACCAGAAAACCAAACAAAGGGAATCGAAGATATGTGCGTACACACAAATGACAGATGTTGGGGTGGAAGTACAGGAAGGAAGGATGAGGACGAGTTTGAGGACCAAGGATGGAGGACCCACGACGAGGACGAGCACCTCCAAGAACTTTCATTGAGAGGCAGCCAAA